TCCTGGTGGCAGGAACCAAGTACCGTGGTGAATTCGAGGAACGCCTGAAAAAACTAATGGACGAGATCAAGCAGGCCGATGATATCATCCTCTTCATCGACGAGGTGCACACGCTCATCGGCGCGGGCGCAGCCGAGGGCGCCATCGACGCGGCCAACATCTTAAAGCCCGCCATGGCGCGCGGGGAGCTGCAGTGCATCGGCGCCACCACGATCGACGAGTACAGGAAGCACATAGAGAAGGACCCGGCGCTCGAGAGGCGGTTCCAGCCAGTGCAGGTGCCGGAACCGTCTGTCGATGAGACGATTCTCATTCTCAAGGGGCTGAGGGAGCGCTACGAGATTCACCACAAGCTCAAGTATACTGATGAGGCTCTGGCTGCTGCTGCCCAGCTGTCCTACCAGTACATCAGGTACGATGGGTTGGGGGTTTTCCCTCTTCGCCCTGGGGTGCTCCAGGCTGGTATGATGGGTTGAGGTGTGCAGGTGAGCATTGAAGGGGCTGAGGGAGCGATATGAGGAGATTCACCACAAGCTCAAGTACCCAGCTCCTCACCTTCTCTTCTTCCCTCCCTCTCCTTTCCCCTTCCCCTTCGCGCCCCTCCCGTTCCCTTCCCCTTTTCTCTCCCTTCAAAATTATCCTCCCCACCTCCCCCCCTAACCAGTGACCGTTTTCTGCCGGACAAGGCAATTGACCTGATCGATGAAGCTGGCTCCCGGGTTCGTCTGCAGCACGCACAGCTACCAGAAGAAGCCAAGGAGCTGGACAAGCAGCTGCGGCAGATCACCAAGGAGAAGAACGAGGCCGTGCGCAACCAGGACTTTGAGAAGGCCGGCGAGTTGCGCGACCAGGAAATGGACCTCAAGACGCAGATCAACGCGATTATGGAGAAGAGCAAAGAGACCAACAAGGCCGAGATCGAGGCGTCTGGAGGTGCTGTCGGCCCGACGGTTACCGAAGCGGATATTCATAGTATCGTGTCCGCGTGGACGGGGATTCCAGTGGAGAAGGTTTCGAGCGACGAGAGTAGTAGGTTGCTGCAGATGGAGGCGACTCTGCACAAGCGCGTGATTGGCCAGGACGAGGCGGTGAAGGCGATCTCGCGCGCGATCCGGCGCGCCCGCGTCGGGCTGAAGAATCCCAACCGTCCGATAGCGAGCTTCATTTTCTCCGGGCCGACCGGGGTGGGGAAATCGGAGCTTGCGAAGTCCCTCGCGGCGTACTATTTCGGGTCGGAGGAGGCGATGGTTCGGCTCGATATGTCTGAGTTCATGGAGAGGCATACTGTGTCGAAGCTGATCGGGTCACCGCCCGGATATGTTGGGTATAGTGAGGGCGGGCAGCTGACGGAGGCGGTGAGGAGGAGGCCGTACACTGTGGTGCTGTTTGACGAGATTGAGAAGGCGCATCCTGATGTCTTCAACATGATGCTGCAGGTACGGTTCATTCTTGTGCTTGTGATGAAGTGTGATGAAGAGGCGGTTTCAGGCAGTGGGGTACAGTGAGGGTGGGCAGCTGACGGAGGCGGTGAGGAGGAAGCCGTATGGTGGCGTGGTGCGTGAGGGCTAGGAGGGTGGACAGAGAGGGTAGTAGTGGTGAAGTGGTAGGAGGCGGCCGTACACTGTGGTACCGTTTGATGAGATTGAGAAGGCCCACCTGGACGTCTTCAACATGATACTGCAGGTATGGTCTCATCTCATGGTGTTACAGATGATGTGGCTTGAGTATTGCAATGGACTGTGGTGGGCGCACTGTTGACTCCAAGAACACGCTTCCCATCATGACGTCCAACGTGGGTTCATCGGTCATTGAGAAGGGCAGCAGAGGCATCGGCTTCCAGCTGGACTACGGCGAGCAGGACACCAGCTACAACCGCATCGCCTGCTTTTCATTGTCCCCTATTAACTCCCTTTCCTCCCTGCGCTCCCAACCCTGTTCTTTTTTTCTTTTCTTTTTTTTTTAGATTCTGGAGGATGGCCGGCTGACGGACAGCAAGGGCCGCACAGTCGACTTCAAGAACACCCTGCTTATCATGACGTCCAACGTCGGATCCTCAGTCATCGAGAAGGGCGGCGGCGGCATCGGCTTTCAGCTGGACTACGGCGAGAAGGACACGAGCTACAACAGAATCACCTGCTTTTCATTATCCCCTTCATGCTAATTCCTTTTCCTCCCTGTGCTCCCAACCCTTTTTTTTCTTTTCTTTTTTAGATTCTGGAGGACGGCCGACTCACGGACAGCAAGGGCCGCACTGTGGATTTCAAGAACACGCTGCTCATCATGACCTCCAACGTGGGCTCCTCTGTCATCGAGAAGGGCGGCGGAGGCATTGGCTTTCAGCTGGACTACGGCGAGCAGGACACCAGCTACAACCACATTTTCTTCTTCTCACCATCCCCTCCTGAGTCCCCTTCCTCTTTCCGTTCCTCTTCCCTTTCCTCAACCCTGACTCCCCTGCATGTCAGATTCTGGAGGACGGCCGACTCACGGACAGCAAGGGCCGAACTTTGACTTCAAGAACACCCTCCTCATCATGACGTCCAACGTGGGCTCGTCCGTGATCGAGAAGGGCGGCGGAGGCATCGGCTTTCAGCTGGACTACGGCGAGCAGGACACCAGCTACAACAGAATCACCTGCTTCTCATTGTCCCCTGTTAATTCCCGTTCCTCCCTGTGCTCCCAACCCTGGTCTTTCTTTTCTTTTTTAGATTCTGGAGGACGGCCGACTCACGGACAGCAAGGGCCGCACGGTCGACTTCAAGAACACGCTCCTCATCATGACGTCCAACGTGGGCTCATCCGTCATTGAGAAGGGCGGAGGGGGCATCGGCTTCCAGCTGGACTACGGCGAGCAGGACACCAGCTACAACCTCGCATCGCCTTCCCACCTTCTTACCATCATCCTACTGCTTCCCTTTCCTCCCTGTGATTAATTCTCTGTGAGCCAGATTCTGGAAGATGGGCGTCTGACAGACAGCAAGGGCCGCACGGTCGACTTCAAGAACACCCTGCTCATCATGACCTCCAACGTCGGCTCGTCGGTCATCGAGAAGGGCGGCGGAGGCATTGGCTTTCAGCTGGACTACGGCGAGCAGGACACCAGCTACAACAGAATCAAATCCCTCGTGAACGAGGAGCTGAAGCAGTACTTCCGGCCGGAGTTTCTGAACCGGCTGGACGAGATCATTGTGTTCCGGCAGCTGACGAAGCAGGAGGTGAAGGAGATTAGCGATATCATGCTCAAGGAGGTGTTCGACCGCCTCAAGAAGAAGGACATTGATCTTCAGGTGAGGGGGAAGGGCGGAGCATATGCACATGGTTTGGGTGGCTGGGTGGGTGGGTGGGTGAAGAAGGGAAGTTTGAAACAGAGGAGTGTAGTACATGGGAGTGAAGGAGATCAGCGATATCATGCTTACAGAGGTGTGACCGCCTTAGAAAGAGAGATACTGACCCGCAGGTGAGTGAATGGGAAAGCAAGGATGGTAATGCTTGTCGTGTATGGGGAGTTGTTCGAGCCATCACACGGCTGCTAGAAGCATTACCATCAGCATGGCTGAGCACATGCTTCATGGGCTGTGAAGCATGGAAGCATGGGTGAAGCATGGACTTTCAGAAGTCTCACTTGTCTTCCCTTCCTTTCCGCTTATCCCCGCACCCCACAGGTCACCGAGCGCTTCAGGGACAGGGTGGTGGATGAGGGCTACAGTCCCTCATACGGCGCCCGCCCGCTGCGCCGAGCCATCATGCGGCTGTTGGAGGACAGCATGGCGGAGCGCATGTTGTCAGGGGAGATCAAGGAGGGCGACAGTGCCATCATCGATGTGGATGCTGCACGCTGTGTGATGCACCCTGAAGAGTCTTCTCACCTGAATCCCCTTCCTCCCTTGCTTATCCTCAATCACACCCCCCAGGTGACCGAGCGCTTCAGGGACCGAGTGGTGGACGAGGGCTACAGCCCATCATACGGTGCCCGCCCTCTGCGCCGAGCCATCATGCGGCTGTTGGAGGACAGCATGGCGGAGCGCATGTTGTCGGGGGAGATCAAGGAGGGCGACAGTGCCATCATCGATGTGGATGCTGATGGGAATGTGACTGTACTCAACGGCAACACTGGCACTGCCACCTCTACTGCTATTGAGGCTCCTGCTGGGATTTCTTAGAGCGGAGCGGAGGGCTAGTGGGGTGGATGGGTGGGTGAGGAGGGGGATGATGGGAGCGTATGCTATCGGGGGAGATCAAGGAGGGCGACAGTGCCATCATCGATGTGGATGCTGATGGGAATGTGACTGTGCTCAACGGCAACACTGGCACTGCTACCTCCACTGCTATTGAGGCCCCGGCAGGGATCTCTTAGAGGGAAGGGGATGTGGAGCAAGTTGGGTTGGTGTGTATGGGTGGGGGGGACTTTTGTTTGGGTGATGTGTGAGTTACTGGGGATTGATTGGATGCATCCTTCGGCAGTAGGAGCATCCTGGATGGTACATAGTGCAACTGCTATCGCTGCAGTTATGGTAGTTACAAGTTTTCTGGTGCAGCAATTCCCTATGTGGGATGAGTGTTGATTGCAACTGCGGGATTGTATAACTGGGAGTCTGCATGTCTAAACATTGTAGGACTACTGAATTTTGCCGCTCATGCTGTGAATCTTTACTTGCATACTATTTGCCAGCACTGGAAAAAGCTTTCGAAGTTCCGCATTCGAGGAAGCCTATTTGGCATAAGTGTGGTTGCATGAGACGAGTGTCTGACACAATCTCGGTGCAACTTGCTCTGGTGAAGAAACAAACCCAATAAAGCACATCAATACATACAATGCGTGGCATTGACAGTGCATGGTCCCAGACTGGTGCCAACATTTCATCATGAAAAATGGCAAGCTATGGTAGGAGGAATATGACAGGGTAGACCGCCATAATAGGGTAGACCGCCATAATAGGGTAGACCGCCAGCACCAGCAGCATCAATGTGGAGCATTCGGTGCTGGAGAAAGCTCAACTTATTCAGGCACTGGCAGATGCTGCAGATTTGAGAGCTTCAAGCAGTACAGCAGGAGGTTGAGCACCCGAAAACTCCTGTCCGCCAATCTGTAGGCAGAGCACACATGGGAGAGCGCAAGCAGAGTTTTACAAGTGGGTACACGAGGCAAAAGCAGAGGGTAGGGGCCTTAGGGACATGCGGAAGCATGCAGCTGATTGTGGTGGAGGCAGCTTACAATGAAACGTGAGCGCCTTGTGCTTCTGAACAATGAGGACCAGAAGCATTTATCGTGTTGAGGCAGGCAGCTTACAATGAAATGTGGGACGCCTGAGACTCGTGGTCGATAATGCCGCAAGTCAGCCTCCACCTGTGATACATGCCGTGTGCCATGCACATGCCATTCACATGCCATGCACGTGCCATTCACATGCCATGCACGTGCCATTCACATGCCATGCACGTGCCATTCACATGCCATTCCCATGCCATTCCCGTGCCATTCGCATGCCATTTGCATGCTATTCGCATGCCATTCCCATGCCATTTGCATGCCATTCGCATGCCATTCCCATGCCATTTGCATGCCATTCGCATACAGTTCACACCTTCCGATGTGTAATTCATGTGCCACAGGCTACAGATGACCTCATAAGGATTGCGAATTACTGAAAAGGATTAAGAAGCCTTGCACCCTTCACACGTCCACCACACGTCCACCACACGTTCACCACACGCCCACCACACGCCCACCACACGCCCACCACACGCCCTCCACACACTTACACATCCATTTATCAACCCATGCATCTGTGAATTCACCCCTCACCTCTTGCAAGCCTGACTGGGGGTTGTCCAGCCACTCTGCAGCTCCTTGCAACCCGCCCCTTTCCGCTGCTGCCAACAGCACACATATGCCCACCACACACATAACCATCCATGCATCCACCCATGCATGCTTGAAATTACCCCTCACCTCTTGCAAGCCTGACTGGGGGCTGTCAAGCCACTCTGCTGCTCCTTGCAGCCCGGCCCTTTCCGCTGCTCCCAACAGCACTTGTCTGAAGAAGAAAGGTGATTGAAAGGGAAAAAAGAGCCACAATTGGTCACCCTTATCACCTCGTGCATCAATCAGTTCTTCTGATCAACAACCATGAACAGCCAACTTCCCCTCCTCACCTGTCACCATGAACAACCATGAACTTCTCCCGAGTGAAGTAGTCCAGAAACAGCTCCTCCACCACTCGGTGCTGCACAGACCAGCTTGCAAGCAGCTTGACGCACTATGAAACTCTACCAATCTCCACTTAACCCCACTCCTCACCTATCACCAATGAACTTCTCTCGAGTGAAGTAGTCCAGAAACAGCTCCTCCACCACCCGGTGCTGCAGAGAGGAGCCTGCCGGCTCACCGCCCTTCTCCCTGTCCCTCATCCCTGCCAGCGCGATCAGCCGATGGCTGTCCAACGTGTTGCCTCTGGTGAGAGGAGGGATAGGGTGAAGAGACGGGAAGAGATGGGGAGAGATGGGAAGAGATGGGAGTTGAAACCGGCCCAAGCAGACCAGCATGCACGCACACCGCCCTTCTCCCTGTCCTTCATCCCCGCCAGCGATCAGCCGATGGCTGTCCAATGTGTTGCCTCTGGTGGGAGGAGGGGTAATGGACGAGGGTGAAGAGATGGAATGGGGTCCGAGTTGCTACAAACCCTGATCACGCCAGCATGCAAGCAGATCACCCTTCTCCCTGTCCCTCATCCCTGCCAGCGCATCAGCCCCGATGGCTGTCCAATGTGTTGCCTCTGGGAGTGAAAGGGGAAGGAAAGGGGGAGGGGGAGGGGGGGGGAAGGAAAAAGGGGGTAGAAAGGGGAGAAACAATGACCTGGTACACATCTGAAACCCATTTTTCGAGGCGCCTCGAACAAAATCACCCAATAAATCAACTCACGTGAGTCCGCCGAGGCTGTATTTGAGCCCGAGCTCGTCGAACACGCCCGTCATGCGCGCAGTGATGGCTGGCATTCGGTCGCCGAAGAGAGAGCGGTAGAGGTCGAGCTTGCTCACGCCTTCCTTGGACGCCTTGGGGTTCAGCTGAAACGCGTACCACCGAACCTGAAATGTCAGGATGAATGAGGTACAGACACAGGAGTGTACTGTCGAGTGGTAACATGGTAACCAAGATGGCCTGCATTCGGTCGCCGAAGAGAGAGTGGTAGACCGTAGAGGTCGAGCTTGCTCACGCCTTCCTTAGACGCCCTGGGGTTCAGCTGAAACGCGTGCCACCGGACCTGTGACGTGAATATGTGACACACGGGTGTTACAGGAACACGCGAGTCTGCAGACGCAAAGCTGATTCCCGCTAACCTTCCAGTCCTAATCTTTCTTCTTTCGAGACATTTGTACTCGTTATAGAGCTACCCACCTCAACGTCCGCCACGTCAGCGAATTCAGCGATCGCCTTGTCAAGGTTTCGTTTTCCGACGAAGCACCACGGACAAACGGTGTCGGACACGACGTCCACTGCCACACGCGCGCGACGACCGGCTGTCGCCATGAGTACGTGGCGACGTCGTGCGACGGTTCCCAGTTCGCACGGACAAATGCCACCAACCGCTGAATTTGACTAGTTAATGATATATTTTCCGTACTGGTTCCTCGCTAGCCCCTAGCTTCCCTACAGAGTAGCTGAAGACCCGGACCGCACACCACGGCCCAGTGGCAAATGGAGGGCGGACAGCTCAGCACAGCACCTCTGGTGCGGCTGGGTGCTTCCGCGAACCTGGAGGCCTCTGGGTGGTGCGACACAGCTTCGTGCCACCCTCCGCGCAACTGCGGAGCCCTCGCCGCTCGACAGTTCCAGAACGGACTCGGTAAAGTCGTATCGATTTCCGGCACAAGAAGCATAAAGTAAAACGTGTAGGGTTAGCATATTCCATGCTGATTCGAGCTAAATATGAATTCATCCACAATCAAGAAGGATGCGAATGCTTGTAGTGTCTCTTTTTAAGGAATTTATGGCCGCCCATAAATTTTCAAAAAAATATGCTGCCACAAGTTACACACTCTCCTTCTGATCATGCTCTGGAGACAAAGAGGTGCTAGCAACTGGTGCCACTCCTGATCCAGCTGTAGCTTCGTTTCGTATGCAGCCACTTCCGCTGATTATGTTAGGAGCCCACCGCTTTAGAAGCTTCATAAACAGCTGATACAAGCCCATGCCGACAACTAGGGAGGACACCCATGCAATTACCGGAACCTGCAAGTGTGGGGGTATGCCAGAACAGTGCAATTTTAGGAAAACGAAGGAATATTGGCCAGGGTGGATCAATAACAGTATAAAAAATGGAAAAAAATATCAGGATGAAGAAGGCCCATATGAGACAGGGGTGGAGAGGAAGGGGAGAGGCAGAGAACGAAAGAGGTAAAGGGGCTAAGTAAAAAATGAAGGGGTGGAGGATGGGGCTGACTCACGTTCCCAGTGGATAGGCTGACAAACGCCGGAGCTGGGCAGTAGCCGGCTAGACCCCAACCTGTGAACAAGGCACACGTGGAGTGAACAGGGAAACGCAACGCAGGAAGATTGATTAGTTGACTCAAAAGCTGGTCAGTAGCCGGCTAGACCCCAACCTGGAAACAAGGCGCTCGTGGAGTGAACAGGGAAACGCAACGCAGGCAGATTGTTTAGTTGGCTTAAGAGCTGGCCATTAGCCGGCTAGACCCCAACCTGGGATGAAGGTAGTTGCCGGGGGGAGATACAACAGAAGTGGAGACTCAGTGGGAATGGAGTGGCAACAAACTGAAGAGAGCGCCTCAAATAGAGCAGGTCAGTCGACTCAAAAGCCGCAAGTAAACAAGTTATGGCATGGCACTCACCAATGCCAAAGATTGCCGAGCCAACCACGAGCTCCCATGTGATGTTGTTCCGAGACGGGACGTAAAACTTGGAGTCGAAGAGCGGGTTGGGGCGGGCGAGGATGAAGCGGAAGGTGACGACGTTGACTGCCACGGCGCCGCCCATCACAAAGGCCAGACTGGGGTCCCACCCGTGCACCGGGTCTAAAAAGTCCTTCACCTTGTAGGGGTTGCACCTGTATGGGGGATGGGATGAGTCCAAGTGGGATGGGGGTGAGAGGGGATGGGAAAAGTCAGGCTCATCACGAAGGCGAGACTGGGGTCCCACCCGTGCACTGGGTTCAAGTCCTTCACCTTGTAAGGGTTGCACCTGTATGGGGGATATCAAAGTGGGTGGGATGGGACGGGGTCAGTCAGGCTCATCACAAAGGCGAGGCTGGGGTTCCACCCGTGCACTGGGTCCAAGAAGTCCTTTACCTTGTACGGGTTGCACCTGTATGGGGGATGAGATGAAAGGGTGGAATGAGGAACGAGAGGGGATGGGAAAAGTCAGTCTCGTAGCAAATGAAACAGTGCTGTTTCTCCCTTGCACTGGGTCAAATAAATCCTTCACCTTGTAAGGAGTGCACCTGTACGGGGGATGAAGACAACACGATCTTCAGATTTGGGGCAGAGCCATGTTTAGTTTTGAGGCGCCTCAAAACTAGACAACATGATCTTCGAATCTGGGGTAGAGCCATGAAGTTTCAAGAAGGTAGGTTTCCAGTGCAAACGTACAGGAAGGCGTGCATCAAGGATCGAGGCCGAATCACGAGGGTGGGTGGCGGGGAGGGAAAGCGTTTTGAGGCGCCTCAAAATGCATCTCACTACTCGTGGTGTAGAGCGTGGTGGGTGCACTTGGGAAGTCGTTGCTGAAGGGAAGAGAAAGCGTGGTGTAGGGAAGGGGTAGCTCACATGCCGCTGAGAGCGAGGCCGATGCCGAACATGGCTCCCGTAACAAGTGACGCTCGTAGCACGTTGATGGGATGGAGCAGCGCGGAACAGCAAGTGGCGGAGGGTGCGGAGGAGGAGAGGGAGCACGCCTGGGCGAGAAAAAAGGAGATTCCAGCAGGAGGGCAGGCGTGGAGTTGCAGGGAGACAGGGGGACACAGAACAAAGGGGTGAGGTGAGTGCTTATTGCAGCACGCACACACACACACACACACACACACACACACACACACACACACACACACACACACACACACACACACAAAGGCATGCATGACATAGCAGCCATATATAGAACACCCAGACCATCCAATCCTCTCCTGGGCAGCAGCAATTCCCGCTCACTCACCCCATCCCAATCCCAATTCCCGATTCCTCCCTATCCCATTGCTCCGATTTCAACCCCTTTGAACCACTACTCACCCCATCGGAGCAGGCCGGTTTGGCAGCATCCTTGGCAAGCGACGCCAACTCCCCAGCAGCCCCACCAGCAGCATTGGCACCACTAACAGCACCACTACCAGCTCCACTCTCAAGAAAATCGTTACAGTACGGGCATCTGTACGCGATAATAGCTCCCGCGGCTGTAGCACAGACGGCCAGCACGAGCAGCCACGTGTTGGTGGCGGGGATGGGCTCGCCGGGGGGGCGGTTGGCGGCTGTAGCGCCGGTGGCGATGGCGCCGAGGGTCATGGATGTAGCGGCGCCTGTCGCCATGAAGGTTCCCACGCCTACTGCGCTGCGCAGGGAGAAGCGCGGCAAGCCGCACACGCCGTGGCCGGACGTGCACCCGCTGCCCAACTGATGCGGGGTTCGGGAGGGAGGGGTAAGAGGAGGGCAAGAAAGGGGAGGGAGAGGAGCGAGGTGGGGAGCTGCGCGGGGAGAAGCGCGGCAAGCCACCGCACACGCCGTGGCCCGACGTGCACCCGCTGCCGAGCTGATGCGGGGGAAGTGGGAGGAGGATTGGGAGACGAGGGAGATGACGGGGGAGTGTGTGATGAGAGAGAGAGATTACGAGCCGCCGTACCTGCGATCTTTGAGCTTAGAGTTGTACCATAGGAGAGGGACTAAAAGCTGCCATACCTGCGAGCCGAAGCCGCAGAGCAGCCCCGCGGCGATGGGCAGAATGAGCGCGAGACCCGGGATCGTCGCCCACGGAGGGGGCTTGGACCCCAACGCGTGCCCGCTGTCGATGAGATTTGAGTCGACTCAAAAGCTACTCTTACTCTCGAGTTAAGGGAGGGATTTGTACCTGCGAGCCGAAGCCGCAGAGCAGTCCCGCGGCGATGGGCAGAATGAGCGCGAGGCCCGGGATCGTCGCCCACGGAGGGGGGCTTGGTCCCGAACGCGTCCCGCTGTCTCTCCTGTATGCTACAGCGTACAACTCTCTCCCGGAATCCGGGAGCACATGAGAGAGTTTAACCTGTGATTGGGGGAAGCTGTACCTGCGAGCCGAAGCCGCAAAGAAGTCCCGCGGCGATGGGCAGAATGAGCGCGAGGCCCGGATCGTCGCCCACGGAGGGGGGCTTGGTCCCGAACGCGTGCCCGCTGTCGATGAGCATCGTGAACGATCCGACGGCTGTCATCGACGCGAGGAACACTGCGCGCCAAGCCCAGTCCGGCACACCCGTGACGACGCCTGCGGTAAAGAGCAGTTGGGCGAGAAGCAAGGCGGTTAAAGTTGTAAGAGTTAGTACGAGTCTCGATGGGAGAGAGATTATAAATCCAACCTCTCGGCATGAGAAGCCACTAGACAAATACCACTGACCCCTGACGCGCCCATTATGCGGCCATTTGTGAGTAGGTGCAGCGACGCGACTCGGAGGAAATGCGGGGACTCGGAGCCGTCTGGGGGGCTTACCGTTGACTACGCCCGACGCGCCCATGATGCGGCCCGTGGTGAGGAGGTGAAGCGACGCGGCGACGTTGATTTCTGAGAGGACTCAAGCACTGTGCGAGGCACTTACCGTTGACGATACCCGAGGCGCCCATGATGCGGCCCGTGGTGAGGAGGTGCAGCGACGCGGCAATCCCGATGATCACGCCGCCCACCAGCGACTGCCACGGCGTGAAGTTATAGATCTGCGGCGCCATGACGATCAAAGGCGGCTCGAGCTCTCTCACTCTTTCGAAGAATCTGAGCTTCTTTCTCTAAGAAAGCGTCTGAGCCCGGGGCTTGGGTTGGGAAGGAATGACTCGCGGCTTGTTGCGACGATCCTAAAATCTCCCGCTACCAAATAGTTTTCCTAATTCTGTGTATTGGTCGTGGTCACTGATTTAGTTTTTTTTACGCTGTCGAAGCACTAGCCACTGGCTGTGGAGAAATATATGCTTGAGAATGAACGAGGACAAGCGATCAGGGGACCAGACCGACAGGCCGTCCGTTTATACCCAGTTGTTTTTGGCAGAGCATGCTTGCCTTGCTCTTGTCCTCTCGCATCTCTTCCTTCTCCTGCTGCTTCGTTCTGGTTACTGTGCCCACTGCACCCTTGCCTAGCTGGACATGCGTGGGATGGCGCCATGTCGATCGCCAAAATCACGATGCCGCGATGATCTGTAAGTTTCTGCTCATACCACGATGTATTATTTTTGCACCAGACTAAACGCCTTGGTTTTCTCAACAACTTTTAATCAATTGGTCTTCGCCATGTCTGCGCGCGACTCGGCATGTTGGACGAATTTCCCCTCCCAAACACATTTTTCTGACGTTGTAGACCCGGGTACGAGAATTGTTTGCGACACTGGCCAATCATATGATATTTCACCGATGTATGACAGCATTTTCCAGCTGCGCCTGGATCTGTCGGTCGTTCATTCCACCCTCGAGTGCAATTTCATGCCAGCTGGGCAGTTCGTGAAATATTCATCCAAGTGGACTCGGAAATGTCGACGGACGTTTCCTTGTTGATACGAAGCTTCTCATCGTGTTTCGTGTGGCGGGAGGGCAACCCCTCAACGATGAGACTCGATGTTATGTACTCGTCACAGACCTTAGCAGGCTTTGTAAGCCACTGAATCAAAATATGTTCCGATGATTCACAAGCACCCATAGCTGAGCAAGGAAAAGAAACTAATATTGCCAAATAGCACTTGATACCAATGAAGGCCTAGTTCCGAAACACGCATCTGCAGTTTACAACAAGGCAAGAGAACAGTTGCAACATGAATAAATAATTGAACATTATAAGCAACTACTACCATCTCCTACCACCTTGCTGCCCCTGGTTGTAGCTGCTACGGTTGTAGCCAGCAGCCTTGCCACTGCTCTGATGGGACCCTGAGGCTTGAGCCTGTTGCGACCCAGGCCAAGGCCGAGCACCAGCACTCACCTCCTCCCCTCTACCCCACTCCCTGTTCCCCCCTTCCCTCCTCTCCCTGCTGCCTCCCTGATTGTCCCCTTTGCCTCCTTGCGTACGTGATTGGTTGGTGGATGACGACTGAGTGGTTGTGAAGGAGGCTGTATCAGGCGTGATTATATCCCACACGTACTGCCTGGGCTCTGGCTTTTTAGACGCCCCTCTGCACCTCCGTCGCTCCACTCTTGAACCATCACTGTCGCCCTCCTCGTCGTCCTCTTCCTCCTCTTCCCCCTCAGTATAATCTTCCTCCTCCTCATCCTCATCATCCTCCTCGTCATCCTCTTCCTCCTCCTCCTCATCCTCCTCCTCTTCCTCCTCCTCCTCTTCCTCCTCTTCCTCCTCCTCTTCCTCTTCCTCTTCCTCCTCTCCTTCCTCCCCCTCATCCTCCTCTTCTTCCTCCTTATTTTCCTCCTCCATCTCCCTTCGACCCAGTTCAGCCCCCTGCCTACTCACTACCACCCCATCTCTCTGCTGATATCCCTCTCCACCCCTCTTGCCACCCTTGTCACCATCCCACACACCGCACAACTCCTCCCCTTCACTCCCGCGGCGCATAACACCGCTCTCGCTCTGCCTACCCCGCCCTCCACTCTCCCTCCTTCCCTCCCTTGATCCCGGCCTATTCCAAAGGTCCACACTAGCTCGACCTCCCACCTCCTTCCCACCCCCTCTCTCGACCTCCCATTCCCCTCCTTGTTCCCTCTGCTTCCCGCCCCTTTCTCCCTGCCAATCACCCTCTCTATCCCCATCCCTTTCATCCCTATCCCTCCGATCCCTATCCCATCCCCGCTGATGCGATCCCCGCTGATCCCAATCCACACTTTGCCTACCACCTTCCCTCCGCCCGCCTCCCTCCCCCCTCACACCCCCTCTCTCCCACCCCCTCTCACCCACCCTCTGCTTCTCCCCCTCTCCAATCTGCCACACCCTGTTTCTAGAAGCTTCTTCGTTCTGATACCCTGAGAGGTCAACGGAAAGAGGCCTGACCCGAGCATGGGGGAGAGAAGGAGGAGCAGGGGCAGGGGCAGGAGGAGGGGCAGGAGGAGGAGCGGGGGAAGGGGAGCGGGACCGCATCCCGTATTTCCCACCCCAGTTCCCTGATCCACCTCCCGATCCCACTCTCCCCCTCTCGCCAGCCCTCTCGTTAGCCCTCTCCCAAGCAACTCCAGATTCCTTCTTATCAGCAGCAACAGCAGCCACGGCGGCAGCAGCAGCGGCGGCAGCAGGGGAGGCAGGCACACGTGGTGGGGTGCGGTTGCGGCCATTGAACGACGGCCTTCGTTCGGTTTGCCCCGCCTCGCCGTACCGCTCCCGCTCCTTGAACGAGCCGCTGCGCTCCCCGAACCGGCCACCAGGTTCGGCAAATGGGCCACCAGGCTCGGCAAACGAGCCACTGAGATCTCGGGACGATCTGCTCCGGCTTCTGAACGACCCACTGAGGTCCCTACTGGACTCCTCCTCATTCTCCAGCCTCCCACTCCGGTCCTTGAACGAGCCACCGCGGTTTCCAAACGAGCCTCTCTGGTCTTTCGACGAGGCACTGTCACCCAGGGAGGCAGCAGCTGTGGCGCCAGGAAGAGCAAAGAGAGAAGCACGCCGCTGTGCCACACTGCTTCCCGAGAGCTCCTTCCTCGGCCGAGGTGCGGGAGGGGACCAGTCCCTCTCCTCTCGCCCCATCTGTGGCGACCAATCCCTCCCCTCGCGGCCTTTCAGAGGCGACTTGAAGCGGTTCCGAGGAGACGGGGACGGGGAGCGGAACGGGGAGAGGGGCGGGGAACCTTCACCGCTGCAGTCGCGAGTGGAACTTGAGTGGTGCTGCTGGGGATGGCGATGCTGGCGACTGTCTGTGTGGGCAGGAGCAAGCAGAAAAGGCGGCTTCATTCTATCAGCACTGTCTAGAGTGTGGCTACGACCCTTCCATCCCCTCGCTGCTGCCTCATAATCCTCCTCCTCTTCCTCCTCCTCCTCCTCTTGCCCATCCTTATCCTTCCAACCCCTGTTCTCCCCCCTTTCATCTTCCTCCTCCTCGCTCCCTGACTTTTCTCTACCCATCCCATCCTCCCTCCCATCTTCCAGCCACTCCTTTCCATCCAACCCTCTCTCCTTGTCACTCCCGAACCTGCGCACAAGCCTCGACCCCGAACCTCCTCCGTCCTTGCCGCAGGGGCTCCTCTGGCTCGGGTTGACCTTCGGCGCGTCAGAGGAGGTTCGGAGGAGCCCTGTCTTAAGCTCTAATTTCCTCGCATGAGGCAGCTCATACACTCTGTTCTGTACCTTAGGCACCCAGGGGAACTCCTTGTCCCCTTTAGTAGCCTCCTCGTTATGTCCGCTAGTACGACCTTTGGGGCTAGAAGGTGTAGAGATCGTTCGCCTATGGTGCTGGTGCTGGTGTTGGTGCTTGTGCTGCTGGTGCTGGTGCAGGTGATGTTGGTGCTGGTGATGCTGGTGCTGGTGATGATGATGGTGATGAGGAATGTAGGGCGGATGAGAGGACGCAAGAAACGAAGCTTCCAGCTGCTGCTGCTGCTCAGGTTCCCTTGAGTTCTGCCCTTCTTTGCCTTCCGACAAAGCTTGTTGGTGGAAGCGTGACAAAAGGTGATCCATCTCTCTATCCCCCACCACCTCTGATGCCCCTTCCACCTCCCCACTTGCTGCCACTTCCTCTCCATTCCCTCCCACCGATCCAAGTGTAACGGCATCAGCTGTGGCTGTAGCAGCACCCGCTGCTTCACCTCCCTTCCCAGCCTCGTCAGTAGCACTGCCACTCCCCACAGGCAACTTCCTGGAAAACGTGAGAGAAACCGAGAGGGAGGGAGAGGCAGGGCACTCTTCCTCCTCTGCGCCTCCTCTGCTCTCTCCTCCACTCTCTCCTCTGCTTTCTTCTCCGCTCTCCCCTCTGCCCTCTGCTGCCCCGCTCCCAGCCCCGAACTTCTCTCCCTTGCTCTCCTCTTTCCCACACGCCTCCTGCTCTCTTCCGTGTTTTGCCTTTCCTGTCTCCTCCTTATCCGAAAAATTGGGATTCGTGTCTCTCATTTCCCCGCTGCCTTCCTCTGCACTCCCATCTCTCTCTTTCCCCCTGCTTTTCTCCTCTGCACTCCCAGCCCTCTCCCTCCCCCTGCTGCTACTCCTATCAAGACGGCTCAAAGGAGATTTGGACCGTTGATTTCTCTCACACGACGGGGGGCGAGGAGGGGAGATACCACTGATCTGATTACCTTCAGAACCATTGTCATCGCCACCCCTGTTACCGCCTCTTCCCCTGACCCTCTCCGGCGAGCCGTGGTTCGGACCTGGGCTCGCCGAGCCTGGCAGTGCCGAGGCTACGCTGGAGGTTCGGAGGAAGCCTTGGGGGCGCCTACCCCCGAGCTCCTGTAGCAGGAAGGATCGGGCGGCACTCTGAGCGCGATGGGGGGGGTTGAGAGGCTGGGAGGCGCTGCGAGGGGGAGGAGAGGAGCTGTGGGGAAGAGGAGGAGAGGAGCTGTGGGGAAGAGGAGGAGAGGAGCTGTGGGGAAGAGGAGGAGAGGAGCTGTGGGGAAGAGGAGGAGAAGAGCTGTGGGGAAGAGGAGGAGAGGAGCTGTTGAGAGGAGGAGGAGAAGGGGTGCGAGGAGCAGGAGACGGGCTGTGGTGGTGAGGAGGAGGGGAGGGGGTGCGGGGAGGAGGAGGAGAGGGGGTGTGGGTAAGAGGAGCAGAGGGCGTGCGAGGGAGGAGGGGGGAGGGGGGCCGTGGAGGGTGTGGGGACAGGGAGCGGGTAAGGGGAGGGGAGGGGGGTTGGGGGGTTTGACGGGAAGGGGAGGATGCAAGGGGAGGCGGAGGGCCATGAAGTGTACTGGTGTGGTCAGGCGGGGATGAGAGGGGTGACGGTACGGAGGATGAGACGGGAAAAGAACTGGCAGCAGTAGCAGCCATATCAGACATAGCAGCAGCGTTAGCTGCAGCAGCTGTAACAACTGTGGCAGGCTTTTCAGACGTCCCAAAAGCAGTTGTAGCAGCTGTGGCAGCTGTAGCAGCAGTATTTGCCGCAGCAGCTGTAACAGCCGTGGCAGGAGCTCTAGGTTCGGCGTTGTCTGACCCAGCCATCCCAGCACATGCAACCAGGGTCGGAGATTCGACAGCACTTGCAGCAGCAGCAGCAGCAGCAGAATCAGCAGCAGCAGCAGCAGCAGCACCTGCGGCAGCCACGGCACCGGCAATTGGCAGAAATGAATCCAGAGAACCCCTTCTCTCCCCTCCTTCAGCCCATCCTTCCATCCCTCCTCTCCCCCATTCGCTTCCACCATCTTCCCCAACTTCTCCCCCACCATCTCCCACCTTTGCTGTCCCCTCCTCTCCCACCCCACCCCCCGCCCATCCCGTCCCTTACGCCCAGACCGCATGGTTGGGAGCCGAAGCTTCACAGACGGTCGGGACCACGGCCACACTCCTCCTCCCGAACTTGATCCCGCACCCGAACCTCCTTGCGAGCCTGCTTCCGTACCGGCGGCCATGGGGGAAAGGGGGGCTTGTGAGGCGGCGGGTAGGGGGCGGGCAGGGGGAGGGGAGGGGGAGCGGCGTTGAGGGGAGGGGGAGCGGTGTTTGGTGAAGGGGAGGGGGAGGATGCGGAGGCCTTTCATGTCTGGCGTGCTGGGGAGGGACATGAGGCGCCAGTGCCGCCGCAACTTTGACTCTGCCTGCTGCTGCTGCTGCTGCTGCTGCTGTTGCTCCTGCTGCTGCTGGGGCTGCTGGGGATTCTGTTGCTGCTGCTGCTGCTCCTGCTGCTGTTGCTGCTGCTGCTGCTCCATCTGTTGCTGCTGAACCTGTTCTAGCTGAAGCTGCAGGTGAAACTGCTGAAACACGTTCTCAGACTCTTGTTGCTTCTCTGAGGGCCGAACCTCCACCTGCACCCCTTCCAACCGCTCTAAACCTAGTCCTTCTGCCCCAAAACCGTCTCCGCAAGCAGCAGAGCCAGTGCTGGAAGCAGGGGAGGGGCCTGTGGAGGAGTGAGCGCACAGGGAGCGAGCAACCGACATTGACTGGACAGATAAGGAGCGTACAGGACCAGGGCGCGCAACAGGGGAGTGGGCGGCAGAGGAATGGGCGGCAGGGGAGTGGGCGGCCGGAGAATGGACGGCAGACGAGGTTTGCGACTGTGGCTGGGACTGCAACGAGGGTGACTGTAACGAGTGGTGGAAGGAGCGGAAATCGTCGCTGGTGGTGCTGCGGTGGCGGTGGTGGTGGGGGTGGGCTGGAGGCGTCTTGTGCTTGCGAAGGAAGCGCGAGGAGGAGAAGGAGAGAGAACCAGAGGGAGGCAGCGGGGGGGGAGCAGCGGAGGGGGATGGCGTGGGCTGACCAGGGCCCCCACTGCTGCTACCAGCACTTCCCACCCCTCCTGCTCCTGCTTCTCCTGCTGCTCCTGCTGCTCCTCCTGCTCCTGCAGTCCCAGCGCCAGGAGAGCGTTTGGGAAGGCCGAGGTCGTGGTGGGAGGCGCTTCTACGGTGGAACGACAGCCCTGCACGCCGAACAAACCCCGCCACCGACCCACCGCCGCCGCTGCCACCGCTGCTGTTAGTGGTGTTGCCAGCCCTGGTGTTGCTGCTGCTGCCGCCACCGATGCCGCTGCTCACGCTGATTGCAGCTTTGGAGAAACCTCTTGGTGAGACGGGGACGCTTCGGCCCCCTCTGTTTCCCCCTTCCGCCTCTGCTTCCTTGCCTCCCACCAGTTCAACTCCTACTGCTGCTGCTGCCGCCGTCCCCCCTCCCCCTCCTCCACCTCCTCCACCTCCTCCACCTTCTCCTGCTCCGCCTGTCTCCCCTACGGTTTCCCCTGCTGCTGCCTCGGACTGTTTAGGAGAGGAGAAGAGGCCTCGAGTGATGGGGGAGAGGAGGGGAACAGCAGCAACCGCACTCACAGAGTGCCGCCTCGCATGCCGACTCCTCTCCCTCACGCTCCCCCCTAGCCTCTTCCCCCCGCTTATCAGTCCCCCGAACAGCCCACCCCCGCCACTGCTGCTTCCCCTCACGGATCCGGATCTACTGCTGCTCCTGCTGCTCCTGATGCTCCCTCCACTCCCACCGCTGTCCCCACCACGCGCACCACTGCTCCCACCGGCACTTAGCATTCTGCCGGCGCTTAGCGCGTCACCGGGGCTGAACCCAGGCGGGCTGTTGCTGGTGGGGGGGCTGCTGGTGGGGGGAGGGCTGGTGCCGCAGAGAAGCGCGCGCGGGCTCATCAGGGGGCTCTTCCCCCCGCTGCTCCCGCTGTGCGTGGGCGGAATGACAGGGGGGGAAGCCTGGGGGAGCTTCCCGAGGTAACCCCGGGGGAGAATCCGGGGGAGGGCGGGGGAATGGGCGGAAGGTGGGAGTGCGCGCGGGAGGAGCGGGAAAGGGGGCTGGATCGGGGGGAGCGGTTGGCATAGGGGGGCGTGGTGGCACCTGAGGGGGAGGCGAAGGCGGACAGGGGCGGAGGGGGCAGGGCGGAAGGGAAGGCGGAGGGGGGGAGGGAGTCCGCGGGTAGAGGGCTTGTGTTGGGAGTGCCTTGGATAGGCTCTAGCACCATACTAAGTAATCTCCTACTGTCCCTCGCCTCCCTCCCCTCCCTCCCCTCTCGCCCTTCCCTCCCCTCTCGCCCCTCTCTCCCCCCGTCTCTGCTGCTGAGGCTGCTGCTGCTGCTCCTCCCGCTGTTGCTACCAATATCCCCGCCAATGCTTCCATAAGGGGCGCCACCCTGTTCCGCCATATCCCCCTCCCCCGCTGCTACTACCCCCAACAGACCCACCCCACCCCCCGCTTCCGCTCCACCCTCCCCCATCCCCCCTGAGGCCCTCCCCAAACGCCCCATGCACGCTCCCCCCTGCCCTCCTCCCTCCACCCGCTTCACCCCCTGCGCCGCCCGCGCCCCCGCCCCCCTCCCTCCGCGCGTTTCCCCCCACTCCCCCCCCATCCTGGGAAGCTTCCGAGAAGCTATGACTCCTGCTGTGGCGCAGGCCCCGTCTGACCGCCCCTCCGCTCCCCCCGCCCGCCCCGCCCGCCCCCCCAGAGGCGGAAAGGGGGGCGCCTGGGGGGGTGGACCTGCTCCGCGGGACCTCCTCTAGAGATTCCCCCAAGGCGGGGGGGGTGGGGCGGCCGTTATAGGACGCGGAGAGGGGGGCGGAAGGGGGCAGCGGGGGGAAGGGGAGGGGGGAGGGGGTAGAGGCGGAGGAGGAGGAGGACGGGGGACCAAAGGCTCCGCCTGCTCTCCCTGCTGCCCCTGCGCCTGCCCCTATGCCTGCGCCCGCCCCTGCCCCTTCCGCCAGGAATCCCCGCCCCTCGTTTCCGTCCCCCTTGGCGGATCTCCCTCCCCCCAGGTGCACGTCCACTAAGAGGTTCCGCCACGCCCTATAACGGGACTGGGAGGATGATAACGCGGACGGCGACTGGGCTGCAGAATCCCCTTCCGCCCTGCCCGCCCCGCCCGCCCCGCCTATAGCCACCGCTCCCCCCGCCCTCCCTTCCGCGGACCCAGCACTACGGGTCCGGCCAAACGACATGCTCGCGCTCCCCTGCGCCCTCCCCTGCGCCACCCCCTGCGCCGTCCCCTCTCCCCGCTGCGCCACCCCTTGCGCCCCTTTTTGCGCCATCCCCCCTCCCCCCAGCCCGTCCAGGCGCAAGTTTAGCTGGTCCTGGGCGGAAAACGAGGGCGCATAGGGGGAGTTGAAACTCCTGGAGCGCAGACTCCATTGGGACAGCGCCGCCCCCTCCTCCCCCTCATCCTCCCCATTCCCCGCTTCTCCGCCCCACCCCTCACCACTCCCCCTCTCGCCAATCGCCCCATCACCTCCCCACCGCCCTGCCGCCGCCCCTGCTGCTGCATTTTCCGCGAAATCCACCTGCTGCGGCTGCTGCTGCTGCTGCAAGCCAGAGAGGTCCATTCCCCCCAGCGCGTCGCTCCCAAACGCCTGCGATGGCCGCTTTCTACCCGCCACACCCTCAGACTCCCGAGAATCCTGCGAATTCGGAGAAGTTTTAGAAACTTGGGAGATCTGAGGGTTGTCAAAGAAGGTCTGCTGGATAGCGGAGAGGTCTAATCCCCTTAGCGCGTCGCTGCCAAATGCCTGGGATGGCCGGCGTAGGCGCCCGAGAAACCGGCTGACCGTCTGGCTGCCGCCCAGCTTCTTCAGCCCTGCCTGCCCGCTGCCGCCCGGTTTCTTCGACCCGCCGCCCCGCACACTGCCGAATCCAAACCCTCCGCCTCCGCCTCCCCCTCCCCCTCCGCCTCCCCCTCCTCCTCCCCTGGTTCGCGCTCCCTCTTCCCCCTCCTCCGCATCGCTGTCATCACTATCCCCGCCCGTGACCAAGCCACCCACACTGTGCCTCCTCCCCCTAACCCCCCTTCCCCCTCCCCCTCCCCCTCCCCTCCCGCTCCCGCTCCCGCTCCCAATCCCGCTCCCGCTTCCGCCCCCGCTCCCCCTCCCGCTCCTATCCCCCAATCGTCCTCCGAATCCTCCTCCTCTTTCCCCTCCCCATCCTCCCCGTCCCCGCCCGCTTTCTCTCCCTCAAATTCATCCGGGCTATCCCAAGAATCAACCATAAAGCTACTCCCAAACACCGGCGCCACGAGCGTCTTAATATCCTGCTCATCAATCACAGCCTTGTCCTTATTCGCCGAATCTGTCGCGTACGACTCGGCGAAGATCCGAACCGCAGGCCCGGACTGGGGCTTCCGGTGCAGCAGGTTCGGCGAGAGCAGCAGGTCGCCCATGTCCTCGTTATCAGCTTCCCCGCTACGCAGCAGCTGCCACGCTGCGTGCGCCTGGGCGACTATTTCCATTACCTTGTCCTGCCCCGCCTTGCCCTGGCTTAGCGTCAGCACTTTGGTCTTTTCACCTGGGAAGGAACATATACGGGTGTGAGAGGCGAGGGGAACCACACGACAGAAGAGAGGCAAAAACAGGAATGAGAAAGATGGAAGCTGCCTGTAGCAGAGCAGTCCACCTTGTCCTGCCCTGCCCCGCCTTGCCCTGGCTTAGCGTCAGCACTTTGGTCTTTTCACCTGCGAAGCAATAAGGGTATGAGAGGTGAAAGGAAGGGAGCCGCGGAAGAGAGGGAAAAAAAGGAATCAGATGGATGAAATCGGTTTTTGGCAGAGCAGAATCGCCTTGTCCTGCCCCGCCATGCCCTGGCTTAGAGTCAGCGAGAGGGTATATTCTCCTGGAAAATTTGCGGGAGGTATATACTCACCTCCACAGTGCTGTCCCGTGCGCAGCCAGTCGCGAATGCAGTCCAGCAGCGCCTGGACAATCCCTAAAGCCTCTACTACCACCCACCCATATTTCATCGCCGTCTCACTCCCGCAGTGCCAGCTCACCTCCGCAGTGCCGGCCGGCCCTCAGCCAGTCGCGAATGCAGTCCAGAAGCGTCTGCACGATCCCCGCCACGTTCTCGTCGCTCAGGTCCTGAAACCCCGACGGGTCGTCCGTCGCAATCCCCACCACCTTCCACGAAAGCTGGAACCCGCGCGGATCGACCAGCACAAACGCCGCTAGCGGCTCGACCGCGTACGCCTCGCCTAACTGCCGGACCTGGCTACCTATGTCGATTAACTCCACGGGACTGTCGTCTAAGGGTAGGTTCCCGAATTCCGGGCAGCGCGTGGACGAATCGGCCCAGGTTTGCGGGAACACGCCGAAGTTCCACGGGATCGGGTCGGCGAAGCGCATGGGCTTGTTATTGCGTAACCGCATTCGCAGCGGCGCGAGGCGTTCGCGAACGGCGACCTCGTAGTCGTCCTGGCAGCCCTTGGGGGTCAGGCAGACGGCGTTGAATGTACCGTTGGAGGAATGCAAAGGCACGTCATGCCACGGCGACACCTCGTTACAAGCATCGTCGATTAGCGTCACGCGGAAAGATTTTCCTCCCGGCGTTCCCAAGGTCACGGGGGTCCACGTGCCGGGGGCTGGAGTCGGCACGTTAAAGACACGCTTTTCACCCGCGTCCGGGTTGCCTGTCCCGTCCGTCTTATCGTCCACCTCTTCCTCCTCCTCCTCCTCCTCCTCCCCCTCCTCCCCATCCTCTTCCTCCTCCTCCTGTTCGTCATCTGCTTCGTCCTCGTCGGTATCCATTTCGCTTTCCTCTCGCCATTTCTCGCCAAGATTCGGATACATTTTCGTATCGTCGACAAGAGCCATAAATAAATTCTCGCTCACTCGTATAACAATCCCTTTCTAGAACATAAAGCTAGTGCATTTCGCACGAGCAACGCATTTCGCACGTGCAGCGCATTTGGCACTAGTGATTTCGCACGAGTAACGCATTTCGCACGAGCCGTGCATCAGCATCGACCTACATTGTACCGTACGACGTCCTACCGTCCACACGAGCCATTACGAATCCTGCCGGCGGAAAATCCAGCGTACCTCACGGTGCGCTATGGCTACCTCCTAACAAGTTCGAAGTTCCTGTCCAACTGCTTTTGCAGGTGGCATGGACAGAAACCCTAATGCCATGTTACACTACTCAAACACATGCCTTCCAAGCCAGCTTCTAATAGAGGTTTTACACGCTATAGAATGGTTTAGTACGTTAAAATGCGTTACGGACGCTTTTGAATAATCCATGTGCGCCCATTCACAGAACTGAACCAGAACAGAGCTACCAAACTAGTCAACCCGCTATGACTGTACCCAGCTGTAACGCACTACACCGTTTCTGAACTCTGTGCAATGCGTAAATGCTGGGTCCAGGCCACAACACGTCATTGCGAAAGGCACTGTACAGTACGATCTGCGAAAACCAAATCTTTGTTGCGTGCGGCCCACACAGAGAACAACCGCGGCAATCCCTGCAAGCTAGAGCGAGCTGTGTACAGCTAGCGACGGTGTCCTGTCGTCGTGTAACCCGACGACACGACAAAATGCTCCATCTCCGGGGTCGCATAAAGATTCACGAGGGGACGATATGTTCTGTTCATCGCATAGATAGGGATTCGAGAGTACAGCGACGAACCGTTGCTCAACGAAAATCCCGTCGCTATTTCGTTGAGTACAGCACTGTAACGCACTTCATTTGGCGACAAGGGGCAGGCACCCCAGCCCAGCACTTAGTTACCTTGTAATCTGTTCCGTGACTGGAAATTTACGCGTGCGTTTGCCAGGTTGGCTTGAGTGGTTCACTATAGGCGTGACAGCTTTACTCAGCTGTTGCTAGGCTGGTTGCGAGCTGTCTTACCGAGAACAGCTGTTAAGTCGGAACTTTAAGAAAGTGGATATAGTGATATCTCCACTGGAGTATGCCCAAACTATTCACATAACATGTAATGATATACAAAAATCTTGCCACTTTCTAACAGAAAGAGAATTCGTAAAGCAATTTAGGTGCCACCGCATAGCTGTAAGAGAATACAACAGGCAAGCTGTGCATTCGGTGTCACTGCCAGCAGTTGATAGCATGTACACCTGTCACTATGTGCTCAAGTGCCTGCATTCACACAGCGTTAGAAATTATCGTAAATGCCTTGAAGGTGGGCTGCATAGCAACCAAACATATAAAGGGACTCACATTTCATTGCCGCCCATCCAACACGGTTCTCCTCCTGGTCGTGAATCACAAGGAAATCCCTCATCCACAGAGCTGCGATAGCACCGAGGGAGTGAAGGACGAGAGGGAGGGAGGAGTATGAGTTGATGCTGGCTCCGGGAAAACGTCACAGGTGGGGAGAATAACTGGTTACTATATACCAGCGGGCTAGCGTGCTCACTGTGCATTGCCGCCCACTGTCCCTTGCCGCCCAGCCCACAGTGCCTCGCCACCCACTGGCCTCGCCACCCACTGGCCTTGCCACCCACTGTGCCTTGTCACCTACTGGCCTTGCCACCCACAGTGCCTTGTCACCCACTGTGACTTGTCACCCACTGTGCCTCGCCACCCACTGTGCCTCGCCACCCACTGGCCACGCCACCACCGCGTGAGTTGCTGCTCAGCATGCTGCCTACCTCCAATGATGAAGGCTAGTCCGTTAGGGGCCTTCATGGTGTCTGAACCCAGCACCACCTGCGTGCACACTATCTCCACGCCCTCGTCCTGGTGGTGGTGGGACGGGGGGAGGGGAGGAAGATTTGGCATCTTAGCTGTCCCAAAGCTGTCGAGCTGTGCCGTATCCATTGGGGGCCTTCATGGTATCAGAACCCAGCACCACCTGCGTGCACACTATCTCCACCCCCTCATCCTGGTTGGTGGAGCAGGAAAGGGGAAGGGGGTCGGGGGAACAGGGAGGGATGGATACATGAGATTTTAGCCGTCACAAGACTGTTGAGCCGTCAAAACAACATCGAGCCATATCGAAGCTCGTTGGGAGCCTTCATGTTGTGTGACCCCAGTACCGCCGCCTGCGTGCACACGACCTCCAAGCAAGACCGCGTACAGACATGGCTTATCAGCGCTCACCATGGCTTTGAAGGTGTATGTGTGCGGCGGCAGGTTCATGAACACGCCCCTCCCTTCAAACTGCAGGTTGATGTGGGGGAATCGGTTTCTCACGTCCTCTGCTGTCAGCCTGGGGAAGAGGGGGAGTGCAAAGGGGAGGAGCATGGGGAGGGGGATGCGTGGAGGTGGGAGAGGGAGCAGAAGGAGGAACGGGGTTTACTGCAGTTTGATGTGGAAAAGGGCGATTTTGACGTCCTCTGCTGTCGCAATGGCGAGGGGAGAGTGACGGGGGAGCAAGAGGAGGGAGATGCAGGGGAGGTTGGGAAGAAGAGAGGGAAATACAAGCTTTCTTATGTTCTATGCTGTCAGTGTTTGTCTACTCACACAGAAAAATCACAGACAAAGCTCATATACACGTCCATTATAACATGCACACACCTCAATCTCACACACCCACACTCACTCGTCAGTGGAGGAAAAGCAGAGCGAGCCCTCCTTGCCAATGGAGAACGCATAGCGAGGCAGCCCCACCGCTGTTTGGATCTGAGGAGCGGACAGGGAGGAAATTCTATGAATCCTGGCTTCCAAGGGAATGAAGCATGAGTAGATGGAGAAGGCACGGTGAGGCAGCCCCTGCTCCCTGGATCCGAGGAGGCAAAGAGAGAAAGCGAACGGCGTCAAGGCAATTTGTTGTGAGGGAGGTTTGCGCATGAGGTGGAAGAGAGGTGGCAGGCACACAAAGAGCCGAGACAAATCATGGAGTAGGTGGTAACATTGCCGTGGGTCAGACCGAATTGAGTTGACTCAAGGGGGAAACGAGCGAGATGGACTCACGAGGTGGAAGAGAGGAGGGACGAAGAGCGGCGACATGATGGAGTAGGTGGTGCCGCTGTCAAAGATGGCATTGCCGTGGGTCAGGTTGCCGTACTGGGCTGGATTCACTGCCACCTCTATTCCCCCCACGAACACCTTCCTCAATGTCACTTTGTAGAAGCTGCGGGGAGGGGGGCAGTGGGAAAGGGAAAGGAGGGACAAGGGGAAAGAGGGACAAGGGGAAAGAGGGACAAGGGGAAAGAGGGACAAGGGGAAAGAGGGACAAGGGGAAAGAGGGACAAGGGGAAAGAGGGACAAGGGGAAAGAGGGACAAGGGGAAAGAGGGAAGGGCGCAAGGAAGAAGAAGGTCAGGTTGCCATACTGGGCTGGACTCACCGCCACCTCTATTCCCCCCACCAACACCTTTCGTAGTGTCACTTTGTAGAAGCTGAGGGGAGAAGGGAAAGAGAAGAGAAGGGAAAGGAGGAAAAGAGAAGGGCAGGAGGGGTTGCTGTATGGCGCTGGATTCACCGCCACCTCTATTCCCCCCACGAACACCTTTCGTAGTGTCACTTTGTAGAAGCTGAGGGGAGGGGGACAAGGGGAAAGAAGTAGAGACAAGGGGAAACAGGGATATGCGGAAGCAAAGGAGGGGTAGCTATACGGTACTGGATTCACCGCCACCTCTGTTCCCCCTACGAACACCTTCAACTGTGCCAATTTGAAGAGAGTGAGCGTGAATGAGGAGATGGAAAGACGGCGAGAGGAGTAAAGAGGGAGCAAGGAGGAGAGAAAGTAGAAGATTAAGGGGGGGAAGGCAGGAACGGTTGTGAGGAGGGGAAGGCAGGAACGGTTGTGAGTCGCCTCAAAGCTGCAGCTGCACATGTGAAACCCCTACTGCACATGCTCTCCTGCCCTCCCCTCCTCTCCACTCTCTCCTCCCCCTTCCCCAACCACTGTGAGGAGAGCAGGTGACGGGCAATGCAGTGATGCTGGACGAGATCATAAACTACGTGCGCTCGCTGCAGCTGCAGCTTTGAGGCGACTCACAACCGTTCCTGCCTTCCCCTCCTCTCCACTCCCGTACTGTGCTGTACTGTGCTGTACTGTGCTGTACTGTGCTGTACTGTGCTGTACTGTGCTGTACTGTGCTGTACTGTGCTGTACTGTGCTGTACTGTGCTGTACTGTGCTGTACTGTGCTGTACTGTGCTGTACTGTGCTGTACTGTGCTGTACTGTGCTGTACTGTGCTGTACTGTGCTGTACTGCGCTGGATTCACAGCCCCTCGCGGGGGAGACTGGGTGGTGGTAGCACTCACGTTTCAAGCAGCTAGACGCAACCAAAATGAATCGAGCTTCAAAACCAGGTACTCACGTGTCATCTGGTCGCAGAGGAGTGAAGGCAGTGAGAGGGGGGATGGGGAGGTCCCCCACTGTCATCCACCCGCCTCCCCCGTCGCCCCCTAGGCAGTGCGCCACCACCTGCCTGCTCGCCAGAGGGGCATGAGAAGAAGAAAAGAGGAGCGGAAGGAAGAGAGTGAAAGAGACGGAAGAGCAGTGAGCAAAGAGAGGAGAAAAGCACTCGACAGAGGGCACCAATTGGAAAAGGAGAAAAAAGGGAAAAGGTGAAAAGGGCACTCAGCAAAGAGAGTGTTCCCTTGCCAATCCCTAAGATCCCTCCAGGGCCTGGTAATACGTCCAACTGCACTACACCTACCACGAGCACCGCACTGAACCACATCTCACCACGTTGAACCAGAACATACCGAACGGGGAAGAATTCCTTGTAGGAGCCAACAGCAATAAGCAGAGAGAGCGACCCCCTGCCCAGCCCTATCAGCCCGTCTAGAACCTGGTAGTAGGCCAAGCTGCACTGCACCTGCTTTCACCACACTCAACCAGAGCTTACCGAATGGGGAAGAACTCCTTGTAAGCTCCGACGGCTGTGAGCAGAGAGAGCGACCCCCTGCCCAGCCCTATCAGCCCGTCCAGAGCCTGGTAGTAGGTCCAGCCCAGGCCGTTGTAAAAGTTGCCCTGCTGCGAGTTACCACAGCTGTACGAGAGAGGTGGGAGGAGAGGGGTGGAGAGCAGTGGAGAGGGATGAAGACAGGTGGGGGAGAGATGGAAAGCGGGTGGGAGGGGTAATGGTAGTTCAGTGAGCCCGTCCAGAGCCTGGTAGTACGTCCAGCCCGGACCGTTGTAAAAGTTGCCCTGCTGAGAGTTACCACAGCTGTACAGAGGGGTGGGAAGTGATGGGAGAGCGACGCAGAGGGGTAATGTAGGCTTATGAGCTCATCTAGAGTCTGGTAGCGCGTACAGCTCAGGCCGTTGTAGAGGTTTCCATGCTGCGAGTTGGCACAGCTGTGAATAGCAGTGCACAGGTGGAGATGGGTGGGAAGGAGTGGAGAGGGATGGGGAGAGTTGGGGAGGGATGGGAGAGCGGTGAGGAGGAGTAAAAGCAAGCCTATGAGCCCATCTAGAGCCTGGTAGTACATGATACACAAGTACATGCTACCCAGGCACTTTTTACATAAGCACATACCCAAACGTGATGGGGACTTTGAAGGCTCTGGCAGACCCGGAGATGGGCAGATGGATGAGACGGGGTGAGGGATGATGAGAGGTGAGGAGTGATAGAAGAGCGGTGCAGAGGAAATAAGCTTGTCAGGGCGCAGGGAAGACAGGCGCATATGACGCAGGCAGATGTTACACAGGCACATGTTACACATGCACATGTTTCACATAAGCACATACCCAAACGTGATGGGAACTTTGAATGCTCTGGCAGACCCGGAGATGGGCAGATGGATGACGTCACCCAGCAGGCGCCCTGACGTCCCACTCCCATCCCCATACGCCACCGAGTACATGCACCCCAAATCCTCCTCCTCCTCCGAACCTCCTGCCGAGCCTGCTGCCGAGCCTTTGACCAGAGACTTGGAGGTGACGTTGCAGTTGCGGATCTTGACGGTTCGGTCCGGGTTAATGCATGCTTTGTTGGAGCACTGAAGGAGCTTAACTGATGAGGATTTGGAGGAATCAAAGGGCGGGTTGGTTTGCTGCCACAAGGGGAGAAGGGAAGGGAGTGAGGGAGGGAGGGGGAACAGGAGGTGAGGGAGGGGGAGGGAGGGAGGGAGTAGGGGATAGAGGAAAGGCGGGAGGGGGGAAAAGACAGAGGGAGAGAGTGGGGGAATCGAGGGAGGGAGGAAAAGACGGGGAATGGGAAGGAGCGAAAGGGGAACAGGAGAGGAGGGAAGGGGAGGGAGGGACCGGCGAAAGGAGGGAGGGAGGGGGAGCAGTAGAGCGGTCAAGGGAGTTTGAGTTGACCAAGAAGTCGCAGGGGCCAGTCGACTCGCTATGAGCAGACTCACCAAAGTCTTTGAGAGCGTGCAGGGGTTGCAGGGCAAGCAGTTGACCCAGAGCAGGTTGCTGCCCGTGTCTATGCCCTATTCAGAGCAGGTTGACTCGCTATAAGCAGACTCACCAGTGTCTTAGAGAGCGTGGGTGACTCACTAGTGTCTTGGAGAGCGTGCAGGGGTTGCAGGGCAAGCAGTTGACCCAGAGCAGGTTGCTGCCCGTGTCTATGTCCTATTCGGAGCAGGTTGACTCGCTATAAGCAGACTCACCAGTGTCTTAGAGAGCGTGCAGGGGTTGCAGGGCAGGCAGTTGACCCAGAGCAGGTTGCTCCCCGTGTCTATGTCCAGATTGAACGTCTGTGGCGGCGTGCCGATGCCCAGCTGCACATAATATATGCTGGGCACGGGGAGCATGGGAGCCAGGATTTGAGGGGGAAGAGAGGAAGATTGAACGTCTGTGGCAGCGTACCGATGCCCAGCTGCACGTAGCACAGTATATTTTGAGGCGCCTCATAAACAGAGTATAACACTTGAGTGAGTTTTCTGATGCTTTCGTGGAAAAGGGATGTGCCTACCCGTTAGGGTACGTGGCTCCCAGCAGCCCCGCTGTCGCCGTTATGCCAAGTTTCCTGCCACGATGGTTACTACTAGGGTTACCGCCACCAGCACCAGAACCACCTCCTCCTTCTCCACCTTCTACTCCTCTTGATTCACTCTTTTCTCCCTCCATTCCGCCCACCTCCCCCTGAACCATCAACATCCGTGATCTGTGCCGAGCCTTGTCACTCTCCACAAGCGACAAATAATGCTGCCCAAACGCATGCCCAGCAGACGAATTCTCCTGCGAGTTCCACGAAGCCGCAGGAGCGGCTGACGTGGCAGGCCTGGCCACTGGAATGGTCGAGGTCGCGGGAGGTTCGGGGGGTGGACGGGAGTGGTCCGGTGGGGAGGCCGTAGCGGCGGCGGTGGCGACGGAAGGATGAGCAGCCAATCGGCTGTTGATCCGCAAAACGTGCAGCCCGTGAACGCCGTCGATGAGATCAGCGAACGCACGGGGACCCTTCCGACCGTCCGTTGCGCTTTTCTTGGCGGTTATGTCGGGGACTGATTCAGCGGAGGTCCCGCGACCAGCGCAATCCGCGGAGGTTCCTCCAACCATGCAGCTTGAAAGACCGCCGAAATGTTCTTCAGAAGTAATATCCCCGTTAGTGTCAGGCACGCTATACGTTTCGTGAACGGGCACTGGCGACGCCGTGGTGATCCTCATAGCGGAATACACCAAGCCTAGGAAAGCGAGGAATAGTAAGCATGATACGAGATTCCGTGAGCATCGGCAAGAGGAACGCCTTTGCGAGAAACTTGTAGTGAGGGGTCTAGTGGAGGGTCTTGAGGACATTGTCGTAGACGGTCTTAAGGAGAGGTTCGAGTTATTGCTGCATATGAGCTGCATGCGACCTGCGCTGCCTGTTTCTATTCTTCGCCCGTGTGTTTTGTTTGGGGCCTCGGACGAGGGACGAGAGACGGACTTGCTGAAGCTACCACGATCAGCACCCTTAGCAGTACCCATTGCAAGGCATATCATCAATAATTTGTTTTATTATCACAAAATATAAAAAAATGAGCTAGCGCCACTGTGATGCATCGGCCGAAGAATGCGACATCGCTAACAACTTGGTGGGAAAACGCTACTAGACCACGCTAATGTCACGTAGGAGAAGGTGTTCAGGGCTTCCTTATCAACGGAAATTAGACGGAATGACAAACAAACAGCAGTGGACGACTGCGACCTTATGCTAGGAAAGTGTTAGTGAGAGGACCCCTGTTCCTACTAAACTCAAGAGTTCGCTGATCATGGAACCAGCTACTGACTTGGGATGAGCTTGATGTTGGTCGTGGCAAACGGCATTCCCAGTGCCGTGAGGTCTGGTCCGTTTTGATTTGGTGGTTCTCTAGTGTCACCTGAACTGCTTGTGCCCGAAACGGAACACTGGGAGGAAAACTGTTCGAATCTGGTTCCCCGTCCAATTGGAACGCCGATTGCAGGATGCTCATCGCGACTCCACCAGCGTGTCAGAATGTCAGTGTTAGAACCGCAATACAAGATGCTTTGTTTCATCAACAAGAATTAGCAAACCTCGTTTCCTATATGATCACATGTATTAAATTTCTCCTCGCAAATTTTAATGAAATTCAAATCACTGTCGATAAAAGCATACTATGGAATCATAATTTAACTGTTCTGCGAGGTCTATGTATCCCTTTTTCAGGCTATGCGAATAGTGTTGTAGCTTTCCCCCTAAAGCCTTGAATAATGCAAATATTTAGTTACAACCAAAATGAATAAGACCTGCGCTCATGATTGTCGTGAAGTTTGACATCCATGACTTGTTGACTACCAATCAAAATCGCAGATAATAATTTGTCATCCTGCCAGCGCACCTCGACGAATGGTTCTGCCTGTTTCTAGGCCTTCGTTTCATCCAATCGTAAGCCAAGATTCAACTCGCAATCTCACGTCCTTAGCCAATAAAACACGTGCCACAGACTTCATCCGCGATTACCCGTCTCCGCGGCTTCCAAAATTCTTGGGTTACTGACGATAGGAGGAAAACGCGTCTCCACCGTTGCTCACACGAGACGGGGGAAAAAGATCAGTTTCAAAGGCGGTCAGTCCCACGATTTCTTCTCTCCCCTAATATATGAATACACTGCACACTGGACAATCTGTCGGTTCGTTGTGTTTGCCCTCGATTCCGTCATTTCTTTTTCCAGACCAGAGGAAACAAAGTTTACGACTGCCCGTCGGTTCACCATCATATCCTTTAGTGCGCGCTTCGTCACCAACTCCTCCCCAGCGTCAGATTTGTGTGCACCTACCCCGCCTCTCGACGAGTCTCCCTCCCACACCCCATCCCATTTCCCATGTTCCTTCCTCCCCGCACAAGAACTGCTTCGTTGGAATTGGGGGCTTATTTGGAGCACATTAGTTGGGTGCGCATAATCCAGCGCAGCCTCTGCTTTGCTGGTTATTTCCTCCGCCACCTCCATTTTCCCACAGCCGTCTTGTTTCGCTCTCACCACAGGCACACTGTCCAACTCAGACAGAAAATTAGCTTCTAAGTGGTTCGTCTACCCTGACACCTGTGTGCTGCCTTCTCACAGCGGAGTTTTACCAACCACGTTCACCGTTCGCCGACTCAGGCTGGTCAAATAGCACGCGCCAAGCGTGTGGAGAGCAACACCACCGCACCGCACGACGCGAAGTTTCTCTTCCACACACCTCTCATCCGGTCAGCAGTCTTTTGGAAGAAGCGCAGCGCACTCGAAGCAAGAAAATAGCGTGCTTGTGGTAACCAGTTCCAGTCGTTCGATCGCGCTGATAATCTTCGTTCGACCTCAGCGGAGACGCAACCGCAGCAGATTTATGAACTCTACTCGTGTGACTCACCTCAACACTCACTGCCCTCGCAACTGCGGCTTATCCACCTGACGAATCTACCACCACCAGTTGGTCGGGTCTCAGAAACTCGCGCTCTCCGTTCTTGCCATCAGCCGCTCCTTTGTATCACTCTCCGCGCCATCCGCACTTCGGATTCTGAGCTCCGACGCATAAATTTGTAAGTTTAGTGTCTAACCATGGCGGCTACAGCAGCAGCAGGCTGCAAGCACCACCTCCTTCGCCCGCTACCCTCGCCTGCCGCGGCGGCACGTGTAACTCCCGCGAGAACGGCAGTGACGCTGTCTGCGCCGCGTGGCGCATCGAAGCTTCCCGCTGTCCGCGCAACCGCTGCGCCACCCGCGGGGAAGCAGCAGTCCCCGCCGGCATCGGCGGGGCCGGCGGCTCAGTCGCAGTTCAGTTCCGACCCAGCGACGATGTCCCACAGCACGCGCGGGAGCAAGGACACCGCGATTCGCGCGGCGTCGTCATTATCCGTCATTGAGCGTGACGTCACTTCCCCAGACGTTAACGGTAACGGAGCCGCTAACGGAGCATCTGCCTCCGTCAATTCGTCGAAGCAACAGCTGGAGCTGGAAATCCTACCTTCATTCGTGCCGCAGGAGCTCACAGCCGCAGCAGACATCTCAGAAGCCTTTCTCTCTCTGGAATCCTCCGCACTTCTGTCGCTTCCGGTACTCGAACCCGCGACCTCTCCGCAACGGCAAGAGTCCGAGGCGGAGGCGGCGGAGGAGCGCGGAAACAACAGCAGCTGCGCTGAAGTAACGTATGATGCGGGAAAAGAAAAGGAGGACGAAAGCTGGCTCAGGCTGATGACGCAGGCTGGGTACTCGAAGCGCATGCAGGCAATCGGCGATCAGTTCTTTGAATCGGACTTGCGGCCTGTCGTCCTCTTCGACGGTGAGACCGCAAACCTCGGACTTTATTGTTTCGATGCAGGCTTCAATCTTATTTCAGCTGCTTCATTTCCTCACAAAGCCATGCTCGTTTGCGCGTCTCCTTCCGCTCTCTGTCTACTGCCCTTGGCAAAACTGGCACCCATGACATGATCTTTATCTTCTCTCGTCTCTCGTGCTGTTGTTTATCTTCTCTCGTCTCCCGTGCTGTTGTTTCTCGTGCGTGCGTCCGGTTTCCAGGCGTGTGCAACCTGTGCAACAAGTGGGTTAACTTTCTTCTCGATTATGATCCCCTCGGGTAAGACGCCGCTGCTGTCCTGCTGTCTTCCACCAATCCATCGCCTCCTCCCTCCCTTCGTCCCCTTCGTCGCCTCACTCCCTGTCCTCCTCATCCCCCACTCCACCTTTCTCCCCCTCGTTCCCATGCATTCCCACTCCTCCACATACTTCACTCCGCCCCATCCTAGTCTCTCCCAACTTCCTCCCACCGCGAGTTTCTAGGTGCCCGTCGCTTCCATCTTGCCTAGCTGCTTCTTCTGTTCTGATGTTGAGTTCACCCATTTTCTCGTGTTCCGTCGTTGCCCTGCTTGTTCCGCAGCAACCTGCGCTTCGCCTCGCTGCAGGGTGACTCGGGGAAGGCTCTTCTGCGCCGCGCAGGTCGCGACGAAAACGACCATTCGGACATTGTCCTAGTCGCACACAACAAGTGAGTTCCGCGAGTGTAGCTCTCTTGTACCGCGTACAGTTCGTAATCTTTTTTGCGGCGCCTCAAAATCAACAACCACTTGAACATACTTCTCGTTTCAGACGACATGTGCGTTGCCCGGATGTAGCCCATTTTTTACTGCGTACACATTACGCGCGCTCTTGCCACCCAACTACCCACGTCCAAGCGCACAATTTCACATGTGTTCATTCACGCACCACGCATTTCCCCTTGGAAGCATCCTGAAGCTCCAAATTCACCTCTTATCACCATCAGCAAATCCACCTCTTACACTAACCCCTGTCTCACCCTCCCACTCTTCCACCTTCTTCCAGGGCCTATTTTGGCTCGGACGCAATTCTCCAGATCTTCTCCCGGCTGAAGCCGCCTTTCCCTCTCCTGGCCGCTGCGGGCCACATCACACCGCACGCCCTCCACGACTTCATCTACAAAACCGTATCTGAGAGCCGGTACACGCTCTTTGGCAAGGCCGGCGCGTGCCGACTGTTTGACCCCCGGTTTGGACAACGGTTCTTGCCAAGTGACCTGAGCCAAGAGTAGGAGTTATTAGTCGCCTCAAAGCGAGGCGCACGCTGCACGCGCTTCATGACTTCAGGTATAAGACCGTTTCTGAAAAGCCGGTACAAGCTCTTTGGCAAGGCTGGTGCCTTGATTGATTGGTCCCTGCGTCTGGCTGGCTAAGGTTCTTGCCTAGCAACCTGAGCCAAGAGTAGGAGGCGGGCAATTGGGAATCTAATTAATTCGCAAGCCAATCCGGGGCAAGCTTAGGAGTATATTTATTGAAATAAGGTTGTTCTTGCTGTTGGGATTGTGTTGGCTGAGGCTGTATATACTCCATTGTGGTCTCAGAAACTCTATGCAGTTGCTAGGCGCAAATGTCCCAGGATATTGCTATATAGTCATCATTTATTATTGCAGTTACCATATTTCCCTATGCCATGTATATTTATATTTCTGACCTAGATTGCAGCTTTGTCAAGAGCCCAACAAAAGTGAAGGTACGAAGTGATATTGTATGTGAATGTACACTTTTGAAATGCATGTTGATTATATTTGCGATTTACAATCGCAGCCCTTCGCTTGTTCTGTTCCCATGCGCTTCGAGAATATACCAAACCACAGCCACCCACACTCCACTCCACTCCAGTCGAGCGCGGCGGGGGGTCGGTCAATTGGGAGGAGCACACTCGCTGGAGCATGCCAGCTGACCCACATGTGCCTCACCTGAGCATGCCAGCTGACCCACATGTGCCTCATGTCCACATCGGCCAGTCGCAGCACTGACCCCTGTGGCTTGGCGAGATGCGGCGCGGCAGCCGGATCGCGCGAGATACCGTATCAAAAGGCTCTTCAGCACATAAATATGCAGCACAATTGAGAGTGCTTCAGCTCTTCGGCTCATTCCATTCGACTGCTATTTCGGATCTCGATTGTCATCGTCAACTCAGCTTTAGTTGCTTGCCATCGTCCGGGGATCTACATTCCAGAGAAATTGACAACTGAGCTGGTCCAGAAACGCAACCCATACTATATACCGCGGCATCTGTCCCACCAGAGGTGTAATAGAGCAATTCGGAGGAAGCAGGCGGCTCCACTCATAGGGGATTTGCGCGACAGCGACGTACAGGCCGCCTGTACTTACCAGTATGGGGAGGAGCAACGGAAAGGCAGTTTGCCTGCGGTTGGTCCTCGCGCTTGCGTTTCTCCTCTCCACCAACGCCGCGCCCCGAACCTCCTCGTCACACACCGTCGTCCCAGACGGGAGCCACGGCATCCGCCAACTCAATAACATACCCCATTCTCGTAAAATTATCGCTGTGAAAACGATTGTTGCTGACGTGGACGACAACGTCGCCAGCGTGGATGGGGCTGATACTACCGACGTAACGGTTACGGGCGCCGCTGTAAGCGCGAAGGATGAGGATGGATTCAAAACGAAGCAGTTCGAGACGGCCGCCCGGGTCTTCCAGGATTTGATCTCGCAGGCCTGGGAATCCTTCTCACCCGCAGGAAATTCTGCCGATGAAGCTTCCACGAAGTCGGACGAATCGTCTCGGGACGCGGAGAAGCAGGGCAGCGAGTCCGGAGGTGGCCCGGAAATCCAGGTCTCTGATGACGTCACGGATCCGGATGACGGGATCGCGGAAGAAACGGAGGGTCCGGAAGAGGATTTGGAAGAGCATTTGGAGAAGCTGCCAACAGAACTTGCAGAAGGCGACGATGACGGCGACGATGATGGCGATGACGATCTTGAAAGGGAGATGGATTATGAATTTCCAGTCAAACCCAACGCGGAGGCAACTTCGTAGAAGGATACTCTTCATACTGGAGTGACTGCGGAGGCGGGGATTGGCGGAAGGAGCATTATCTGCGCCAGTCGCGCTGGTCCTTTATCAGGCGGAACAGGGGGGGCTGGCCGTTGCTGCAACGGACGACTTGAATAAGGCCTGAGCTGCAGGTTTACTATATTAGCGGTGAGGCCAATAACGCGGATGGGGCTGAAATAACTGAGGACCTGATGCAATAACGAGGAGAGCAGCTCGAGTTACAATAAAGAAGGAGCCGTTGGCGAGGGGTTGACTTTGATGCAAGAAGCCGTCGCCATGGTCCTAGAGGACGATGCCAAGTGTGCTAATAAAAGGCCAGAGAATATTTCAGAGATTGAGGCGGAAGGAAAGAAGGTGGGCGACGACGAGGGGCACAGGAGGGTGCTGTGGATGGTGGAGAACGGAAGGGAGAAGAAGGCTTGACGGTAGTCTTTCTGTGTGAAAGGGCAATCGAATCTCCTCCTCATGGATCATTAGCAGGAATAAGCTTGTGTGACGAGTTCCTTCACATGCGACTATAGACACCCCTTAATATGGTCTCTTCACTCGGTACATCAGTTCAGATTGTTAGAATCAGCGTGTGCCCTTGTGTGTAACAGTGTGGTATTCATCACATGAACTAGGTACACTACCTTACAGTTAGGCCAGCTTGGTACTGCATATGGTCATGAGTATTCTCTTCTGCCCTTTTTGTTATGCTAAAGCTCATACTGCATGAAGCATTGTACAGTCAAAACGCCAGTCATACCTGAGGGTGCGTTCTCAGTGTCAAGCTTCCTGACACAAGGCTGACAACAATTCAGATGATTCCACGTTGTCATCAAATCAAATTCAAACCCCTCTTAAGAGGGGGTCAGCAGCAGCCTGAAACCACCCAATATCGTATCATGATCCAGCAAGTCTCAAGCCAGGGTTTTTACTGTTGAAATTTGTAGGTCGCTAGAGCGCAGCGGAAGCTCTAGGAATTAACGACGTCCCAGCGGCGGGGCAATGGTCACTCAGAGGTAGCTCTCCTGGCTTGTAACTTGGTGCCAGAGCAGCGGCCGAGGGTAGGCCGGACACAAGCTTGGGAATTGTGTAATATGAGCAATGCAATACATTCTGTCATATAGGAAACATAGCAGGCAGGCAGTTACCAAGGCGCAACTGTATAACAGTTGCGCTGTAACGCTTCAGTTGCCCAGTTACAGTCGCGCTGGCGCGACTGTTCAGCTTCGGCAAGGGCGCGGTATTCTGCCGCGCCCTGCAGGGCGGTTTCGTGGTACTGTTCACGCTGCCTCCTGCATAATCTCGACTCTTGAGCTGCCACGCGGGTCGCAACCGCTGTGCTCGGTTGCGCCCCGTTGACTCGCCACCAGGGTTGAAACCCTCGCTATGGCGAGCTTCGCTTCTGCACTTCGAACAGTGCTCTGCAAGATAAAGAACACACAAATATATTTCCAACATTTACCTGGCTATGCCAGTCATCCTACGGTGGTTTGATAAGACCCAGGTGTGTGGGATGTGGTGGAAACGTGTGTTCCTGCTTTAATACCGTACTCTGTTGACTGCGGTCATATATCTGTATATGCCACATTGTGGTTTAGGAAGGAACACTGTGCAGTCGTTATGTGCAAGTGCTATAGGGAGTTGAGGCTGTTGAATAGACTAGATATAGCGCGGGTGTGCTGTTTTGTGTCCATAGTATTATTTATTGCAGTTGCCGTTTATGTAACCTACAGCACTATACTGAACAAATGAGATTGAACATGTACAGTGTGTTTGTTTCCAATTTGCCACTCTTCCTTTCCCTGCCAGAGCTGTACCCATGCGCTTCGACAGAGTGCACCATAGGCACCCACACTCCGCAAGTACAGCACAGGTCGGGAACCAATCAGGCGCGGCGGTCAATCAGGCGTGGCGGTCACACTGCACCAAGCCTATCACACCATCTGCCCAGCTTGAGAACCAGGCACAGCACAGCAGCCCAAAATGGCACTGCCAGTGGCGCCTGTGGCTGGAGGGGAAGCGGCGCGGAAACCGAATCGCGAAATGCCAAAGGCTTGGCATGACAACGACAGACCACATTGCAGGACGGGACATTCAATTCAACCATTCGCTCATTTTCTCGAGCTGCGCTTCCCACAACACCATTTCGCGGTTTCGTCATCCGTGTTCCTGTCCACTCATCTCGGATTAGGATTTAGTCTCTAAAGCACTCTAGATTGCGCGGCATAATATTTTCTTTCCCACGGCGATCCAGTGCCAGCCGACGTCGTGTAATCAGCTTAAGTCAGCCTCCTGGTTAGGGATTGGCGCAGCAACGACGTACGGCAGGTAGCATCTACCAGTATGGCGAGGAACACCAAACAAGTAGATTGCATGCGGATGATCCTCGCGCTTGCCTTTCTCCTCTCCACCCACGCCGCGCCCCGGACCTCCTCATCTCACAGCGGCGGCCCGAACCTCAGCCACGGAATCCGTGAGCTCAACAATATACAACATTCTCGCAAACTTCTCGCCGTGAAAGCTACAGTTGCTGACGTGGACGACAACGTCGCTGACGTGGGCGGACCTGACCCTGACGTAAGCATCGCTGAAAGGGCGCCAGCTAAGAATGAGCTCGAAACGAATCAGCCCGAGTCCGCCTCCGCGCCCAAGATTCACGAGGTGACCATGGGGGATGTGCTAGTATCGGATAACGAATCGTCGTTAAAAGAGGACATCTTTGCAAACGACCAGCCTCAGGAGCCTTCGCCCGCTGAAATTTCTGCCGACAAAGCTTCCTCGACGGCAGACGAATCGTCTCGGGACGCGGAGCAGCAGGGCAGCAGCGAGCTCAGCGGAGGCGACTTGGGATACGGCCCGGAGCTCCAGGCGTTTGATGACGTCACGGAGCCGAACGACAGGATCGCGGAAGGCGCGGAAGATGCGGCGGAGGATGCGGAGGAAGAAGATACCGACGATTACTCGTCAGGTGGTGTGTCGGAAGGGATTGGAAGAATTGAGGACGACGATGACGATGACGTGGAATGGGAAGAGGACCTCGATTTCATGGTGAAATCCGACGATGAAGCCGCTTCGGAAAAGGATGAGCGTCGTGCGGGAGCGACAGCGGAGGCAGCGGGGGGAATGGCGGAAGGCGGGGGATTGGCGGAAGAAGCGGAACAGGGGGGGCTGACCGTTACTTCCACGGACGACATGAATAAGAGGCCTGAGCCGCAGGTGTTTGACGATGTTAACGAGCCAGAGGCTAATAACGCGGATAAGGCCGACGCGGCTACAGTAGCAGGCGGAAACAACGAAGGATCTAATGTTGAATTCTCGGAGGAAACCAAGGAAAAGGCGAGCAGTGTGGGTGACAATAAAGAGGGTGACGAGGGGTTGAAGGAGATAATTGCGTTTGATGCGAGAACTCTCCGAAACCCCATCAGCATGGTCCTGGAGGAGGATATCGAGTCTGCTAATAAAGGAACAGAGGAAGTTCAAGAGATAGAGGGGGAAGGGAAGGAGGAAAGTGACGAGAAGGAAGGGCACAGAAGGGTGCTTTGGATGCTGGAAAATGCAATGGAAACGGAGATGGAGGAGGCTTGATGGTGCTGGCTGGTGGTTCAATAATAAAACGCATTGCCCAAGGTCTTGAGAACGAAGAGCACCAGAGGGTGCTTTGGATGCTGGAGAACAGAATGGAGATGAGGCGTGCGTGACCTTATTTCTGTTAATAAAGGGCAAATGTTGATCCTCTGTTTAGGTTATTGAACTGGGCGGGCGTGATTAGTTGGCCTTACCAATACCGTACTAGAAATGCCTGTGGATATGGTTGTATCCTCGTTGTACATGTTTTACGGTAAGTTCTCCAGCTTTACTGCATCCTCCCTTTGTCATGCTATGCAATGGAAATGCCTCTATGTACACTCGATTTGCTATTCAAGATATTATGCTACACCTACTTTTGAGTGTACGCGCAATGCACATAATCCTAACCTGATCCTACCACCTGATACTACCACTCACAGTACATCATTGAATGCCATATGCTCCCAGTGGCATACATCCTCAACTAAAATCACCACTCGTCACACCTCGTAACCGCTCATCACCGCATCTGCTGGCTGCGCTCCACATACCCCATGAGGTGCCTCATCGCCCGCCCACTATCCACTGCCTCTCTCGCCCTCTCCACCGCTGCTTCCAGCCCAATCGCTCCCCCCCCCCACCCCAATAGGTGATCCTGCACCGCTGCATTGAACACTATCCTGTCGTATGCCGGCCCTTTCACTCCTCTCAGTGCTTCCAGGCCTATGTCTAGATTCTTCCGGGGCTGTTGGAGGGGAGGGATAGGGGGATTGGGAAAGGAGTGAGGGAGGATGGGGGCAGGAGGGAGGGATGGAGGAAGGAAAGGGAAGGGCGTGAGACAACGGGTGAGTGGGACACGCACTGCTGCTGCAGCCCACCCTGCCCCAGCAGACGACTCAAAAATAGGCTTTGACAGCAGGTAACTGTGCACAGCCACAGGGTGGCATTACATGAGCACCAACGGCATTGCAAGCACAAGGACTCACCGATCGGTCGATCCTTGGTGTGAGCGTCTCTTGCATCCCAACAGCCACAGCATCAGCCTCCATCGAAAACGTCTCGCGGTAGAACCCATCCTTCCTCCCTCCACGCTCACTCTCCTCCCCTTCCCCCGCTCCCCTCCCCCCTCCCGTCCCCTCTCCCTTCCCCTCTCCCCTCCCCGCCCATCCACTCCCGCTGTTCCCCGGCCGGAAACCCGCGCAGTAGTTCACCGGCCGGCCTTTTTTGGCAGCATCCGGGGCGGGGCGGCGGGTCATGAGAGCTAGGGATCCCTCCTCGCCCTTCACCACGAGCCCTGCTTCCACGGGCTGCCTCCTCATGAGCATGAGCAGTGGTTCCTCATACCCTTCGTGGTAAAATCCTGCCACCATGGCCTCTCGCCCTGATGCCTGGTTGCACGACGGGATGGGGGGAGAGGGGAGGGGAGGGGAAGGTAGGGGAGGGGAGAGCAAGGGGACAGAATGGGTAAGAGACCCCTCCTCGCCCTTCACCACGAGCCCTACTTCCACGGGCTGCCGCCGCATGAGCATCAGCAGAGGTTCCTCATATCCCTCGTGGTGAAACCCTGCTACCATGGCCTCTCGCCCTGATGCCTGGTAAGATAGAACGGGGGGTGGGGTGGGGGTGGGTACAAGGGGTAGGGCGAGGAGTAAGCACACCCTCCTCGCCCTTCACCATGAGCCCTGCTTCCACGGGCTGCCTCCGCATGAGCATGAGGAGCGATTCCTTGTATCCCTCATGGTAAAACCTGGCGACCATGGCCCCTCGCCCTGATGCCAGGGGGGTTTCAGGAAGGCGCATGTGCAGGCAGTAACGAGAGAATATAGTAGACGCGTTAAGAAGAGGGTTTCGATGCATGATGCCTGAACAATAATGTAAACACGAACACATGCGAGCTCACATGTATGTAACGCTGCACTTTCTCTGTGGTGGCAAATGTTGGACGCTTCTTGATGTGCCTCCGCATATCCACCAATGAGTAGCTGCCACGTGGAGAAGTGGGAGGAAGAAGTGAAAACCAAGGATAGATGATGCGGGGAAGGAGACCAGGAGGGACGATGAATGGCAGAATGAAGAGTGGAGAATGGTTGGAAGGTTCTCAGGTGATGGGAAAGAAATAAGAAAGGAGCGAAAGTGGAAGTTATGAGTGTGCATGAAAGGAGAGCAGTACAGACAGCAGCTAGACGAAGCAGATTCAAGCAGGGAGTGAGAGGATGAATGGCAAGGAAAGGGAAGGAAAGAGAAGAAGAGCGAAGGTGAGGGAAAGTTAAGGAAGGGGAGAGAGGCAACACACCATGAGGGAGAGCAGTCCCTGAGGCTGAGATAGGCCATGTGGACCTGAGGGTCCTGCAGAGACATACATAAGAGAGATGGGATAGAGAGGTGAGACGGGAAAGTTGGGCGCATATCATGGTGGCTCTTGAAGGGAGAGCAGTCCCTGAGGCTGAGATAGGCCATGTGGACCTGAGGGTCCTGCAGAGACATATACACAATCAAGACAGGGGAGAGAGAAGAGGCAGGAAAGACGGGGGAGGGAGGGAGGAGAGACAGGGGAGAGAGGCGAAAGAGGGAAAACAGAGGCTTCTTGTGCACGAGCAGTCACAGCAGCCAAAGGAGGTGCCATGTGATGGGGCGGTGGGCAACACAACCCTCTCGTGTCCCTCGAAACGCTGACCCAAGGTGCACGTTTACAAAAGGCCAACGCACCTCCAAGATGGAGGCAGCTTGTGAGGGCGACAGGCTGGTGTTGGTCCCCAGCAGCCCCAGCATTGCCTCTTCTGTGGCTCCAAACTGACGGGCGATGGGAGAAAGGGGGGGCCGAAGGAGTGAGTGAGAGTGAACGGTTCAAGAACGAGGGGAATATAGACACTAAACATGCGAGTACAGCAATTAAAAGAGTGCCTATATCCCCAATTGCGGCACACACGAGTTCTGAGACAGGCAGCAGGCACGCCTCTCCACAGCTCGTCCTGACTGCCCTCACCCACCCCCTGCCCGATCTCTCACCTTGGGGGGGAACGGAAACACCTGCCATATCACTCACCTTGGGAGGAAACGCGTCCACCCCATGCAGCAGGCACGCCTCTCCACAGCTCGCCCTGACCGCTGCCACGAAGAGCGTCGGGTGGAAGTAACGTGTGCTGCCGTCGTAGGGGTCTCCGTAGTGGGTCAGTGAGGGTACTCTTGCGATTGGCGCTGGACCCAGCTCCTGGGATAAGAGGGAGGAGAGGGGAGAGAGTTCATTCAAAGCATAGACTGTCGGGAGAACTGAAGGCGAGAGGGATGCGAGGGGGGAGAACATGGGGGGGAGAAATGAAGTGTCGGGCGGAAGTAGCGCGTGCTGCCATTGTAGGGGTCCCAGTAGTGGGTCAAGGAGGGCACTCTTGCGATTGGGGCTGGACCCAACTCCTGAATGGAGAAAGAGGTGGGAAAAGGGAGGAGAAAGAGGAGGAGAGGCAAGGGGAGAGTGTCGAGCGGAAATAGCGCGTGGTGCCGTCGTAGGGATCACCGTAGTGTCAACACACACACCCATACATACCTGATCAAAGGACAGGCAAAACGCCTTGAGCTCGCGGTAAGTCTCTCTAATACACAGCAATCAAATATGCCGCCACTAGCGCATCGCTCACTCCCCTCCCCCCACATCACCCACTCTCCCCCCCTCCTTCCGCTCTCTCCCGAGGCATGGGCATTACACCCCTACCTACCTGATCAAACGCCAGGCAGAAGGCCTTGAGCTCGCGGTCAGTCTCTCGGTTCATGCGCACAGCGATCAAATACGCCGTCACCAGTGCATTGCTTACCCCCCCCATCGTCCACTCCCCCTCCACCCCAAATTCTCTCTCCAGACATGAGAAGTCTCACACTGCCGTACCTGATCAAAAGCCAGGCAGAACGCCTTGAGCTCTCTGTCGGTCTCTCGGTTCATGCGCACAGCGATCAAATATGCCGCCACTAGCGCATCGCTCACTGCCCCTGCTCCCTCCGCATCTCCGCCCCTCATGGGCAGCAGGTTTTGCAGCAGAGACATGGTTTCCTGGAAAGAGATGGGGGGTGAAACGGGAGGTGGGAGAGGCGTGAAAAGCAAGGTTAAAGACCTCCTACACTCGCCCTCCATCCGCACCCCCGCCCCTCATGGGTAGCAGGTTCTGCAGCAGAGACATGGTTTCCTGGAAAGAGATGGGGGACACAGGACAACACACAGAACAAGGCACAGCCTGAGAGTCAATACGTCAACACCCCTTCCTAGGGATTACCTGAAATTCTACCTGAAATTTCACCTGAGATCTCACCTGGAAGCCAAGGTGCACGCCAAACAGAATGTCCCTGAGATCCCCAACCACCTGATCCTCCTGCTCTGACCCATGCCCGAGAAAGGTGGGGCCCACAGGGAGCGCATCATTGAAAATAGATCCCTGAGGGGGATGAAGAGAGGATAAGGGCGTGCGGGATGCACAAGGGGGTTCACTGAGGAATCTCGGGTGAGAGAAGATCCCCCACCACCTGCGCCTCCTGCTCCGACCCATGGCCATTGAACGTGGGGCCCACAGGCAGCGCATCGTTGAAAATGGATCCCTGAGGGGGTGTGAGGGGAGCACAAATGCAAGAGGAAAGGCACGTTTGCATCGCATCCCAAGGGGGATGTGGCTCCCACTGCACCGCATCCCATCGCACCGCACCGCACTAGGCAGGGCGTTGGTGAATATAGAGGGTTTGCGCAGTGAGGAAAGCACAGCACAGGGGACGATATCGGGCCTGGGGAAAATGCAGGGTGGGCAGATTGGTGCAACTTGGAACTTAGAAGAACCACTTAACTCAAAACCCCACATCCTACACCCGAACCCACCTGAGGGTCGGCAAGGAAGAGCACGTCTCGGGGGAGGTGGTATCTGAGGGCGGGCCACATGTCATCCAGCGCGCGCCTCTCCCCCTCACTCCACTGCGTGGCGGGGGGGAAGCAGTTGGCGCGCACTGTCATGCCCGCGAAGAACGCGCCCATCTGCGCGCGTGAGACACGCTCTGATGGGGGGAGTTCCCCCTTAGCTGGATGGGGAAGAAAGGAAAGAGGCGAGGGGGGAAGGAGAGGGGGGAAGCAGTTGGCTCTCACTGTCATGCCCGCAAAGAAGGCGCCCATCTGCGCGCGTGAGACGCGCTCAGAGGGAGGCAGTTCCCCCTTGGCTGGTGTAGGGGGCAGGGGGCAGGGGGCAGGGGGAAGGGGGCAGGGTCCAGGGGTAGAGGGCAGGGGGCAGGGTGCAGGGTTGTTTTGGTGGGTCAATCCACTGCGTGAAGGGCCACATGTCATCCAGCGCGCGCCTCTCCCCCTCACTCCACTGCGTGGCCGGGGGGAAGCAGTTGGCGCGCACTGTCATGCCCGCGAAGAAGGCGCCCATCTGCGCGCGTGAGACACGCTCTGATGGGGGGAGTTCCCCCTTAGCTGGATGGGGAAGAAAGGAAAGAGACGAGGGGGGAAGGAGAGGGGGGAAGCAGTTGGCTCTCACTGTCATGGCATGCCCGCAAAGAATGCGCCCATCTGCGCCCGTGACACTCGCTCTGATGGGGGGAGCTCGCCCTTTGCTGGATGGGAGGATCACGACAAAGACGAGGGGGAAAGACGAGGGGGGGAGGAGAGGGGGGAAGGCGAGGGGGAAAGGCGAGGGGGGAAGGCGAGGGGGGAAGGCGAGGGGGGAAGCAGTTGACGTCCGCTGTGATGCCTGACGAACCAACTGCGGAAACACCTGGTGACATTCCTCCTGACAGAACACCTGAGCGCACACCTGAGAGAAAGATCTGCTCCAACACGCGCCGCATCTCCTCCTCGCCCAGCGGCCGGGTCTGCGTGGGTCCCGTGCATACGCGCGCCTGCGCCTCGAGAACCACCTGGTTCGGACCCACGTCATCCTGCAGGAACCTTCCGCGCAAGTTCCCGCCGGGCTCCTCTTCCCCGATCTCGCGGATCTGAGCCGCTACGGACGGCTCAGATCCGCCCGAGGCTTGGCTTGCACCGCTCGCGGCGGAAGCGGCTAGTCGGTGAGGGGAGGGCGAGGTCCTAAAGAAATCTTGCGCGCTTCCCATTGGGAGGAACCGCGTGGAATGGATCCGTGAAGGAAAGACTGTAGCGCGTGCGGTATACCCGGCGGCGCGGCTATTCGATGGCCCTCTAGGTTCTGCGACGGCCGCGGTTGCGGCGGATCTGAACATTCGGTCGCACGACAGCGAGTTCCTCACATGCGAGTCGGCTGATCGGCTTGCATGCGACCCACGCCGGTCGCATGGGTCGCAGGGGATCGCGACTGCGGGGATCACCGCGGTGGTGCGATGCGGCAGGGGGGTAACCCGTGGCGCCAACATCTGAGAATAAGGGTAGCGTAAGTCGTGGTTCTAAGATCCGACGCCATATGTCGACGATGGTAGAGATTGATCCGAAGGTCGACAATGAAAATCGGCAATCATAAACCGTATCCCCTTTCAGGGCGGTCTGATATGCAATGCATGTGATAACTTGTTCATGATTATGACCGCACATGACAAATATAACTCCACTAGATGCAGTAACAGATAAGATCCATAACTTCTGACAACAGTATATAACAGTAACATTCTACTTGAATCCATGACTTCCTAACAGTTCTGGCTGTTGCTCTAGCATTAAAAGTGCTGTTTTATGTTGAACCATAAATAACCTGCACAGTGCCACCCAGAATGTCAATTCTTTGGAAGAGACTTCATGAAACAAAAGTGCAGAAAACGGAACTCACATGGTAGCAACTGGTTGCTGTTGCAGATACCGTATAATGTTGATACATGCAGTGGTAACCTGCAGAGGGCATCCAAGAATGTTAATACTCTGACAGAGACTTCAAATAACGAAAACTGAAAAGGCAGAACAGCTCACCTGAGTATATGTATATTGTCTCATGCCTTGAGAAGGGTTGGATGCAGGCAGGAGGAATTAAGCCATCCTCCCCCACCCCAGGGAGGACTGGCTGTTGAGGCATGAACTATCCTCCCCCACCACAAGGAGGACTGGCTGCAGGCAGTAGGCATTAAGCCAACTGGCCCACCCTCAGGGTTGCTATTATCAAGACATGCGGGAGCCCATGTACGCCGGTTCTGTCAAGTAGCAGAGCTGCTGCAGTCAGCTCTGCTACAGACAGAACCGTTGTGTATGGCCCGGATTCGAGATTAGCCAACCCCAAGGATTCATGCCACTGGCACATGCCAAGACCTCAAGCCACAAGCCGCCAACTTCTCTTGGGATACCTGCAGGAAACAAAGAAAAGGTCAGTACTTGAATAGGAGTAGAAAAACGAAATGCAGAAAGTTGAACAACTGTACCTTGGAGCCTTGGCCTTCGAAGTGATGAGTTTAAAGGCGTGAGTGGAGTGTGTTGGACGGAGTCCTCCACTGCTGAGGCACCTGCAGAGTGAACAAGCAGATTTTCAGCCAATGTGAAAGCAAAAACGAAAAACTAAAGGTTGTAAACAATACCTTGGTGGGCGTGGATGTTGAGATGCTAAATTGTTGGAAGCTTTTGAGAGGCGATTAGCTCCTGCAGGAAACAAAAGAAAAGGTCAGTACTTATATGTAGAAAAACGAAATGCAGAAAGTTTAACAATTGTACCTTGGAGCCTTGAGTGAAGTGTGTTGGACGAAGACCTCCTGCTGAAGTACCTGCAGAGTGAAAAAGAAAATTATCAGCCAATGTGAAAACAAGAACGAAAGACTAAAGGTTGAAAACAATACCTTGGTCGGCGTGGATGTTAAAACGCTGGATTGTTGGAAGGTCTTGAGAGTTGATTAGCTGCTATGCTTCAGTGGTGAAGTACCTGCAGAAATAATAAAGATGGAGACGTCAGTCAAGATAAGAACAAAAAACGAACAAGGAAAGATTCGAGAAGACAAAAGCATTACCCTGGGTCTTGAACATGAATGTTGCATGTTCCAAGGAGTTGGACAGTTCAAGAGGCTCAGTTGTGAAGCGGTTAATCTGCAGAGAAACAAGGAGACGTCAGTGAAGGCAAGAGGAAAGAACGGATTGAAATGGCTGAAATGAAATAGCTTACGCTGAAAATCTTGGAAGCTGAGTTGTTTGCTTGTATGATTGATAAGAGTGGCTTTTGGAGAGCGCCAGTGTGGAAGAACCTGCATAGAGAAGGCAAGAAACCTCAGTCAGTGAAGGTTGAAAGCTGAACAAGATCTAAAATTTGAGCTTGCAAGCTTTACCTTGGATTTCGGAACTTGGGGTGTTCAGATCAGAGGGAGGACCTTGGTTCTTGAGAAGCGTGAATTTTCCTGGCCATGAACCTGCCGTTTAAAGGAAGTGGAAAAAAAAAAAAGTTAGTACAAGTGTCACGAAGCGCTCCAGGGAATATAAAGACATAAAAGCATGAGCATGATGGATGGGAGGTAGGGAGTAGCATAGATGCAAGAGGGCTAAACACCACAACCACACGAGCCAAGTACCAGATACCTAAAGGGACCTGAAGACCTCACCAGAAAAAAGTACCTTGTACCAAAAAAACTAAGGGGAATGGCTCATGTGGTGAGTGATCAACTTTCAAGCATACATGCATGCAAAGGAGGATGAAATGATGAATTCAAAATGATGCAAATGATCGAAATAACAGAGAAATGACTCAAGGTTCAAGAGAAACTTAGCTTCGGATTGGATCTCGACTTGAAGCTGGAAGCTGCCTCCGCTGCTTCAGTGCTGACTCCAGGAAGTGGGCAGAAGCCGGGACAGTAGAGCGTCATGTTGTTTTCGAAGGCTTCCAAGGGAAAAGCGCATTCTCCATTGAACGGCAGCAGAGGAGTGTGGAGGAACCTGCATAGAAAAAACAAGGAAACATCAGTCAGTGAAGGTTCAAAGGCTGAACGAGATCTCAACTTGAACTTGCAAGCTTTACCTTGGATTTCGGGACTTGGGGTGCTCAGATCAGAGGGAAGACCTTGGTTCTTGAGTAGCGTAAATCTTCCTGGCCATGAACCTGCCATCTAAAGGAAGTGGAAAAAAAAGTTAGTACAAGTGTCACTAAGCGCTCCAGGGAATATGAAGACATGAAAGCATGAGCATGATGGATGGGAGGTAGGGAGTAGCATAGATGCAAGAGGGCTAAACACCACAACCACACGAGCCAAGTACCAGATACCTAAAGGGACCTGAAGATCTCACCAGAAAAAAGTACCTTGTACCAAAAACCTAAGGGGAATGGCTCATGTGGTGAGTGATCAACTTTCAAGCATGTATGCATGCAAAGGAGGATGAAATGATGGATTCAAAATTATGCAAAAGATCGAAATTACATAGAAATGACTCAAGGTTCAAGGAAACTTAGCTTCGGATTGGATCTTGACTTGAAGCTGGAAGCTGCCTCTGCTGCTTCAGTGCTGACTCCAGGAAGTGGGCAGAAGCCGGGACAGTAGAGCGTCGAATGCGTCCAAAGGAAAAGCGCATTCTCCGTTGAAAGGCAGCAGAGGACTGTGGAGGAACCTGCATAGAAAAAACAAGGAAACGTCAGTCAGTGAAGGTTCAAAGGCTGAACGAGATCTAAAACTTGAACTTGAAAGCTTTACCTTGGATTTCGGGACTTGGGATGTTCAGATCAAAGGGAAGACCTTAGTGCTTGAGTAGCGTAAATCTTCCTGGCCATGAACCTGCCATTTAAAGGAAGTGGAAAAAAAAAAGTTAGTACAAGTGTCACTAAGAGCTCCAGGAATTATCAAGACATAAGCATGAGCATGATGGATGGGAGGTAGGGAGTAGCATAGATGCAAGAGGGCTAAACACCACAACCACACGAGCCAAGTACCAGATACCTTAAGGGACCTGAAGATCTCACCAGAAAAGTACCTTGTACCAAAAAACCTAAGGGGAATGGCTCATGTGGCGAGTGTTCAACTCTCAAGCATACATGCATGCAAAGGAGGATGAAATGATGGAATCAAAATGATACAAAATATCGAAATAACAGAGAAATGACTCAAGGTTCAAGAGGAACTTAGCTTCGGATTGGATCTTGACTTGAAGCTGAAAGCTGCCTCCGCTGCTTCTGCGTTGGCTCAAGGAAGTGGCTGAGGGCTGAAGCCTGGACCGTAGCTTTAACGTTGAGCGCCGCGTTGCTCTCGATGGCGTCCCAAGGAAGAAGCGCATCTGCCATTGAAAGGCAGCAGAGTGGGAGTGAGTGAGTAAAAACAACAGTGGAAGGTCCACCCAGGCAAGGAGGGTATGCATATGCATGACGGGAGGTACGGGTATGCAGCAACACCATGCAAGAGCGCTTAACACCATTGCTACAGGAGCCAAGTACCAAAAAATACCAGTAGAGAACCTGAAGAACTCACCAGAGAATACCTGATAAAAAAATTAAACCATCTAAGGGGAGTGGCTCCTATAACAGTGGCGGTAAGCGGCTCCAGCATGACAAAAAAACGATGATGGACACGATGGGCGGAAAACGACGTTGAAAAAAACCAGGAAGAATTGATACTTATCTGTAAACAAAGTAGCAGTTCTTGAATGTTGGTTGACGTCCTGGCTTCAAGTCTCGAATTGGACTGCTGCGCAACTCGAGAGAGTTCAGACCGTTGCGCAGTAGGGTGACGAATGTCGATGGGTGCAGAGCGAAGCTCCGATGACAACCGCGAGCGTTGCATGCATTTTTTCCCAATTTCTCTGCAGAAAAGAATAAATAACGCGAATCAGTACAAGTTCAACATGCAAACGAAAAAAAAAAAAACGGTACGCTCAGGAATGATATAACGGCTGAAGGAAAATGTTATGGCTGACCTTAAAGGTGGAAGTATTGATGCTCGCGCACCGTGCCAAACAGCAGCAGGCAATCTTGAATTGGCCGATGTTGAAAGTCGTGAAGAGAACGGATCGTGGACGTCGAGTTGCACAAGCGCGGTTGAAAATCGTGAACGATGTAATCGGCGTCTAAAATTGTAAAACTAGGAACGTGCTGACTTTTATGACTGCATTCGACTGGATTGACTGGAGAGCAGAAGAACTGCAATGGGAACGCAAGTGACGCTGACGACGGTGGAAGAGGAGACGTCCCTCACAGAATTGACCCAGTTTCGAGTCGCGTGCTTCTGGAGTTCGCGCTAAAATAAACGGCTACGCGGCCGTTCTAGGAGAATGCAGGGGGGTTTCCAACCCCAAGGGATGAGGGAGTGGCTCAGCGTCAGGAAGATGGGGCTCCTGGGTGGTGGCTGTGTCAGGATGATGGGCTGGCGTGGGTCCTTGGGGTTTGACGGACAAATGGTGATGGGTTTTGTGACGAGCATCATCAGCGAAGTGACGAGAGTTGGGACCACCACCACCTTTGCTATTGGTCCGCGAAATCGTGTTTGCGATGGTTCCGCGGCGAACACGCGAGGTTCGGCAGGTTTTGCAAAACAGAGGGCGCGCGGGGGCGGAGCGCCACGCACAACATTGCGCGAAGCAGGGAGAACGCCCAGAAGGATGCGCGTTGTTTTCGATGGCCCATCTCACACTCCCCCCGTCCCCCCCATCCCCGCTGATGACTCAGCAGCAGCAATTCTTGAATCTGCATTTCTAGCATAACAGAATAAACGGAGATGGGTCAGCTGCTTCTGCGTGGGGCAGAGCTTCTCCCACAGGGAAGAGTCAGCTACTGTTGCTGCTGCAGGGGCAGCAAATGAAAACAAAGCATCTCAAACGAAGCCCACATGCGGCTCGGAAGGCATCAACCATAAACACGTGCACCTAACCAACCTACGGAAACCTGACAGGTAGGATCGCAGCACACCCAGGATTAGCCCCCGCTCCACCGTACTCAACCAATCTGCTTCAAACCAATCTGCTTCACTTTACTCGCAACCCACACCCACTTCCTTCTCAAGGCAACTTTTGCACTTTTCTACTTCTTGTATTGCGGCTCAGGACGGTTCCACACGGTGAAAAGCGGTTTCGAATATTGGAAACGAAGTTGACCGCAGGGAGCGCAGAGAAGTTATGCAATCTGACGTCGCCCTTAACCATTTCCTGATGCTTGGATTCCTCCCAGCTGAAACTTCGTTGCTGGCTCCCTTACCTATTTTCGTAAGACTCGCCACCACTTACGCTGACAGTTGCAAGATATATTACATAGCTAGACATCGCTAGTTATCCGCTAAGTGATTTATTCGTTTCGTGGTAAACCATATGTACATTCTTATTATTGAACAGAGCTAGCCAGCTAGCTCGAACGCCAGTAGTGTCAAGCCACTTACGCTCTAGAACACCTCAGAGCAACACACCTGGTTTGTCGAACGGCCTGACGAAAGCAAGCACCCTGACGTGAGCCTTGAGCTATACGACCGTTTCGTCGACCAACGCGAGAGCCAGAGGAGCGGGAGCGCGAGAACGATGGGGAACCAGACGAGCGTGGTGGACGCGCTGGTGGATCTTGAGTTCCCGGCAGCCGCGGCGGCCCCCGCGCGCCCCCCGCCCGGCCACGACCTCCCCATGGGCGTGCTCTCCTTCGAGGTCGCATCGCTCATGCGGAAAGCGCTTGATCTATGGCGGCAGCTCGACGCGCGGAATATCGCGGGCCTGGAAAAGCAGCTGCAGGTGAGCCGCTGTCTCTTTTTTTACTTCTTCTTTCTTAAGAAAAAATAAAATAAAATAAAAAACTGTTTTTTTGTTTTTTTTTTTATCTAATTTTGCTTTTTTTACCCAGCCGCAGTCTCCCCTTCCCGCACCCCTCAGTCGTGCCCGTATTTCGCTCCCGCTCCCCCCAACACTGTGTGGTCGACTTTTGAGGCGCATCATCCCTTTGTCTACCACTCTCTCTGCTCCCTCTCTCTCCCTTCCCCACCCCTCCCCCCCCCCCTCTCCCCTCCCCTCCCTTTCTCCCCAGACCGAGGGGCTGAAGCGTCTGGGCGTGGGGGACTATTCTCTGCGCTGGCGCCTGGCGGGCGCGGAGTATGCTTCCGACCTCACCGCGCTCACCCGTTTCTCTCCCCCTCTTCCCCGCCCCCTCCCCCCAGACCGAGGGGCTGAAGCGCCTGGGCGTGGGGGACTATTCTCTCCGCTGGCGCCTGGTGGGCGCGGAGTATGCTTCCGACCTCCCCGTTTCTCTCCCCCTCTTCCCCGCCCCCTACCCCCAGACCGAGGGGCTGAAGCGCCTGGGCGTGGGGGATTATTCTCTGCGCTGGCGTCTGGCGGGCGCGGAGTATGCTTCCGACTTGAACGCGCTCACCGCCGCCGTGGGGGTGCTGGCGCGCAGGTGCGGGGGCGCGCGGAGCGGAGAGGTGCTGAAGCGGCTGCGGGGGTACAGCCGCGCGTGGAAGAGAGAAGACAGCTTCAGCGAGGGCGAGGCGGACGAGCTCATGCGGTGAGTGGGAGAGAAGGGCGTGGGACTGTTGTGACTGTAACGAGGATCTGATTGTAGCGAGAATGGCATTATAACGAGGTGGTTCTAACGAGCAGGAGCTCATTACGGGAGGGATTTGATCCTTAATATCGACTGACTGTGTGTGGGTCAGTGACACCTCTTGGCCGTCCTTCCCATCCCTATTTGCTCGTCTCTGTTCATCTAACCAGCTTCCTTGGAACCGTCTTTTTATTCTCATTCTAAGAACCTTCGATATCGTTGCAAAGGTTCCCCAGAGTCTCTTTGTGCTTGCTGTTGTCCTCCCCCCCCTCCCCCGCCCAACCCCGCTTTGCTTTTTTCCTTTCGCCCTTCGTGTTTGCCCCTTGTAATTTCCTGGCAGGTTCCTGAGGGAACAGCTGGAGCCAATGGGAGCGCTGCACAACGCAATGCTTGCACTGGATGACGTCATCAACAGGTGATGCTCGCTCGCCTCTGTGCGTGTGTGTGTGTGAGAGCGATTGTGTGAGTGTGTGTGTGTGTGTGTGTGTGTGAGGTTGTGCGTGTGTGTGTGAGCGTGCGTATGTGTGTGTGTGTGTGTGTGTGTGTGTGTGTAGAGCCCCTTTGTGAGTCGACTCCCCCGTCCGAACCACCTGCTTTCCCCCATCCGCTCCCCCATCCTCCACCCCATTCGCTTCCCCTCCCTCCGCCCCGCCCTCCCTCCCCCCCCCCCCCGTCCCCCTCCCCATCTGCTCCCCCCTCCCCGCTCTCCCCTCCCCTCCCGTCCGCCCACCAGCGCGGCAGCAGATCCCGAGGTGCAGAACGCCAATGCGCGTCGCCCCAAGGAAAAGCCTCAGGCCGCGCCCTACTCGCTCTTCCCCTCCCCATCTGTTCCCCCCTCCCCCCCCCCTCCCCTCCCCCTCACCACTCCCCCCTCCCCCTCCCCTCCGCCCACCAGCGCGGCAGCAGATCCCGAGGTGCAGAACGCTAAGACGCGTCGCCCCAAGGCGAGCCGCACCCACTCACTGGTTGTTCCTTCCCATCTGCTCCCCCCCTCCCCTCCCCCCCTCACTCGCCTCTCCCCCTCCCCTCCGCCCTCCAGCGCGGCTGCAGACCCCGAGGTGCAGAACGCCAAGATGCGTCGCCCCAAGGGGAAGCCGCAGGCTGCCGTGATGGAGCAGGTGGGGTGGTGCTGGTTGGGGAGGGGACGCACTGTTTGTGGGATGGGTGGCTGTGGTGGAGCAGGTGGGGTGGTGCTGGTTGGGGAGGGGACGCACTGTTTGTGGGATGGGTGGCTGTGGTGGAGCAGGTGGGGTGGTGCTGGTTGGGGAGGGGACGCACTGTTTGTGGGATGGGTGGCTGTGGTGGAGCAGGTGGGGTGGTGCTGGTTGGGGAGGGGACGCACTGTTTGTGGGATGGGTGGCTGTGGTGGAGCAGGTGGTATGGGTCTGTGGAAAGAGTAAGGTGTGTGAGGGACATGCAGAACCCTAAGACGCGTTGCTCCAAGGGGAACCCGCAGCAGGCCTGCCGTGATGGAGCGGGTGGGGTGGGGCAGGGCCGCATGGGGGGCTGTGGGTGGGGAGAGCAGCACGCAGTGGGTGGGGTGCTCACTGTGACGCATGATCCACATGCTCAAAACAACAACGTGTCTCGAACCTTGAGAAGCCTTGAGTCTGGTGGAAACGTCTGAGTGCTATGGGCCAGGCTCCGTCCTGCACGCATGCATGAATGCGACTCCCACTCTGAATCTGCTCAGCAACCGCCCTTCACCGCCTCTCTCCCATCCCCCATCCCGCTCTCCCCTCTCCTCGCCTACCCATCAGATGCAAGTGGTGCATCAGCTGCAGCGTGCATCCCTCTGGAACCACCCACTCGAGCGACCGGTGCTGGTAGGTTCACTGCGGTTCATAATGATCTTAGCATTCTATATTACATGAGTTCTACTCGCCCAGATATCGACCCTGTTCCTCTTCCCGTCTTCTCCCCTTCCCCTTCCCGTCTCCCCGCCTCGCCTGCAGCTCCTGGCAGCGTCGCTGGGAGTGCTGTGGCAGCAGTATTGGTCGGTCTTCGGCCGGCTAGCTAGTCTCTCCCCTCTCCCCAATCTCCTCTGCCCCACTCTCCTCCTCCCCTCCCTCACAGTTGTTAGCAGTTTCGATTGGGGTGTTTTGGCAGCAGTACCGGTCAGTCTTCAACCGGCCAGCCCCCCCCAAGCAGGAGGAGCTGATGAGAGAGATGAGCCCCCTCTCCTTCTCTCCCCCTCCTCTCCCCCTTCCCCTGCTCTCCTTTTCACAGGTGCTGGCAGTGGCGCTGGGAGTGCTGTGGCAGCAGTACCGGTCAGTCTTCGGCAGTCCAGCCCCGCCTAAGCAAGAGGAGCTGAAGGCGACGCTGGGATTCAGGTCTATGCTCACGTGCTGCTGAGCCGTTCCCCCCTCTCTCCCACTCCCCTCGTCTCCTCTACCCCGCTCTCCCCTTCGCCTGCTCTCCTCTGCCATCACTCCCCCCTCACAGGTCCTGGCAGTGGCGCTGGGGGTGCTATGGCAGCAGTCTTTGGTCGCCCAGCCCCCCCCCGAAGCAGGAGCTGATGAGAGAGTCCAGCCTCCTCCCTTTCCCTCTCCCTCTTCGTTCCCCTCCGTTTCACAGGTGCTGGCAGTGGCGCTGGGAGTGTTATGGCAGCAGTACCGGTCAGTCTTTGGTCGCCCAGCCCCCCCAAGCAGGACGGGCTGATGAGAGAGTCGAGCCTCCTCCCTTTCCCTCTCCCTCCTCGCTCCCCTCCTTTTCACAGGTGCTGGCAGTGGCGCTGGGGGTGCTGTGGCAGCAGTACCGGTCGGTGTTCGGCCGCCCAGCACCCCCCAAGCAGGAGGAGCTGAAATGAGCGCTGGGAGCAGCGGGGCTGCCGTCTTTTTCACTCTCTCCCTCTCTCCTCTAACCCTCCACTCTCCCCCCTGCGCCTTTCCCCCCTTCACAGGTGCTGGCGGTGGCGCTGGGAGTGCTGTGGCAGCAGTACCGGTCTGTGTTTGGTCGCCCAACACCACCAAAGCAGGAGGAGTTGAAAGGAACGCTCGGAGCAGCGGGGTTGCCTTCGGTCTATGCGCGCGTGCTGCTGGGGGTGGAGCAGATGAGGGAGATGAGCCCCATCAGTCCGCCCTTCAAGGAACAGCGGTGAGGGTTTGATCTTATTTGTTGTGTTGCTAGCTGGGAGCAGCGGGGCTGCCACTTTTTTACCCCCTTTTTTTTTCCTTCAACATAAAGAAGGGTTTTTGATAGACATTTTTTCACCCTTTCTTTTTCCCGTGTATCTCACTCTCCCCACCCTCACTCTGTCCCCCTCTCCCACTTTCCATCGCTCAGAAGGGAGCTCTACTCCATCCTCCCTTCAACAGCCACCCCACCCTCGCACCCTCTCTCCTCCCGCCACCCACCAGGAGAGAGCTCTACTCCATCCTGCCTTCCACCGTGCGGCGGCGCCTGGTGAAGCGGCTGAAGCAGCGGTCCAAGCGGCACATCGACGGGGCGATTGCAAAGGACCTGAGGGGCGTGGTGGGGGACATTCTCAAGTGGGCCGTGCCTCACACTCTCCTGGCCCTCTCATTCTCTCTACCTTCATTCTCTCTACCTTCATTCTCTCTACCTTCATTCTCTCTACCTTCATTCTCTCTACCTTCATTCTCTCTACCTTCATTCTCTCTACCTTCATTCTCTCTACCTTCATTCTCTCACCCGCCACTCTCCCCACTCTCACACTCTCCCACTTTCTCCCCCCCCTTCCACCTACCAGAAGAGAGCTCTACTCCATCCTCCCCTCCACGGTGCAGCGGCGTCTGGCGAAGCGGCTGAAGCAGCGGTCCAAGCGGCACATTGACGGGGGGAGAGCCAAGGACCTGAGGGGCGTGGTGGGGGGCGTGCCTCACACTCTCTGCATCATCACTCCCTCCCACCCTCTCCCCCTCCCAATCGACCAGGAGAGAGCTCTACTCTATCCTCCCTTCCACGGTGCGTAGGCGTCTGGCCAAGCGGCTGAAGCAGCGGTCCAAGCGGCATATTGATGGGGCGATAGCTAAGGATTTGAGGGGCGTGGTGGGAGACATCCTCAAGTGGGCCGTGCCTCTGGCTGAGCGCACTGAGGTGTGGAATGGAGACAAGTCGTTTGGGGCTCAGAGGAGGAACCGCAGGCACCGCACGCTGCTGGTGGAGGTGAGTGAGCGACTGTGCTGGTTGGCAGGGCTGGTGGAGTGAGTGAGGCTGTGCTGGTGCGTTGGGGCCTTGGGCACATAGACGGGGCGATCGCCCGGGATTTGGACTTGAGGGGCGTGGTGGGGGACATTCTCAAGTGGGCCGTGCCTCTGGCTGAGCGTACGGAGGTGTGGAATGGCGACAAGTCGTTTGGGGCACAGAGGAGGGCACGTGCACACCGAACTCTGCTGGTGGAGGTGAGTGAGTGAGATGGTGGAGGAGGGGAGTGGGGCCCCATTGCTACCTCTCCCCGCCTACCCCTCCCCACCTCCATCTCCCTGCCTCTTTCTCTCCTCTTTCTCTCTTCCTACCTTCTCCTCCCCTCTTCCTCTCCACACCTCCCTTTTAATTAATATCAAAGCTTTTCCGTCTCCCCTTTCCCCCCTCCCCTCGTTCCCCCTGCTCTCCTCCTCCCCCCCCCTGTCCCCCATACCAGACGCTTCACTACTGCGACAAGGACAAGTTTGAAGCGGTGCTGGTAGAACTCCTGACCTCCTTCTCCCTCGTCACTCTCCACACCAAACGCCCGCACCCGCCCACCAAAGCCCGCCCTGCCGTGACCCCGATTCGACGCAAGCAGCCAGGCTCGGCCGAGCCTAAGAACCAGGCCGAGTCTAAGAACCAGGCCGCGCGGCCGTCCACCGCTCCTGCCTTTCCCCCTTCTGCGTCTGCTCCCACTTTTGTGAGCAGTAACAGCATCAGTAACGGTTATGGAAACAGCGATGACAACTGTAACAGCAACAGCAACGGTACTGGTTACGCCAAGTCACAGTCTGTTTCTATTCCTCCCCCTGCTGCTGCTGCTGCTGCTGCTGCTGCTCCTGCTGCTGCTGCTGCTCGGCCTTCCACTATGGCAAAGTCACGATCTATCTCCATTACAGACGCACCCGATGGGGGTATAAGGCAACCCCGTACCGGCCCCTACCGCTCCGGACCTCCCGGTTCCCCCCGTGCTGGAAATGCTTCTAGGGGAGCCCCTTCCGGACCTCCCAGTTCCCCTCGTCCCAGACCTGCTTCTGGAGCAGCCCCTCCCGGACCTCCACCTACGGCTCAGTCAGCTTCCAGTGCTCCCCCGCCTGCAGCTCGAACCGTCTCCGAACCTGCTCCTACTGGTCCGGCCATGCCTAGGCAGGCTCCCCAATCAAGGCCTGGCCCGGGACCAGCTCCTGGACCTGGAGGGCCCCGAGGCAATCCATCCGGACCTCGCCCCAGGCCCAGTGCTGGCCCCGGACCTCGGCCTTCCCCAGGCCAGGCGATGCCTGGGAGGGGTGGCATGGGACCCGGAGCTGGGGTTCCTCAGGGTCCAGGTGCCATGCGACCAGGCCCCCCCGGACCTCAGGCTCGGCCCGGACCGCCATACCGAGCCGGAGGTCCGGCGCAAAGGCCAATGCAGGGGGCAAGGCCAATGGGTCCAGGAGGGGGTATGGGAGGAGGTATGGGAGGAGGCCGGGGAGGCGTGGGAAGGGGTGGTGGAGGTCCGGTTTACCGGCCATCTCCGGCATCTCCGATGTTGGATGATATTGATGGAATGCCGATCCGACGGTCAGGAGGGAATGTTAATGCTGGGCAACGCCAGAAGATGCAGCAGAGAGAGTGGCTGAAGAGGGAAGTCATGCAGCAGGGGGGCTCTCATGCGATGGGATGAAAGAACTTGTGGCTTAAGAACATGCACAGGGAGTTAGGCAATGCTAGTTGTTCTTGAATATTGATACAGGGTGAAATATCTGTTCCATTACCCTGAACGATGGCTATATCTGTGATTATTTTTATGCATGTGCGCGTCAAAGTGTTTCTTGTTCCTGAATGTCACGAGTAGGTGGAAATGCGTTTATGCTTAGCGAACCACAAGAACGTCGTCCATGTTGAGGCCCGAGCCGCGAAGGTTTGTCAAAGATATTGGGAGACGAGAGGACGTCGTCTCAGACCCACACACTTTCTTTTGAACCCCTTCGAAACCCGACAGATCTACGCGAATCGTTTTGCACCTCAAGCCGACGTCGTGAATAACTTTGCGAACCGCGAGGTTGGCGTAGCGCCTGATTGGTGGAGTGTGGCGGCCTCAGGGTTGAGCATGGCGCCCTCTGATTCGCTCTTCAGCGCTTCGCTCAGCAAAGCAGCAAATCCTGGTTCAAGAATCCCTGTCGTGCCGCGGATGCGTCAGATTTGCGCAAAATCAAGGGGAGGGCGGAACGTACCTCCTTCCGCGAGCCCTTCGAGAATCCAGAATCGGCGTCGATTTCGTTCACTCATAGGCAGATCCACCGCCATGTGTGGTGTAGATTGCTCCAGCTGCGCCAGATTCTCCGCAACCGCAACACCTCCCTCCCCGCTCCCTCCTTGCTGAGGGGCAAGCAACAGCGCCCCAGAGCTACAGACACACATCCTACCAGATTTTCCCACTCTGCCTTCCCCTCGATAATTTCTCTCCATCCCACCCCCCGTGCCATTAGCTCGTCTCGTCGTCGCCTCCTCTTAGTCAATCGTCCCGCACTCTCCTCCTCCTAACACGCCATCGCGTATCATCCAGCTCACGGCCGCACTTCCTGGCCTACAGTTTGTCTATAGTTTATTCTTCGAATCATTTCCAGCTTCGTAGCCTCAGTTCGACCTAGAAACAGCGAATCTACCGCCTCCGACCAGCTTTCTCCGAGCCATGTCCGCCGAGTCACCATCTGGCAATTGCCGACAATATCTCAATATAGCTCTATAAATCTTGTAAACTAGCTGCTTTCCTTTCTAAATCAGCTGTAGTCCATACAGTGCTATGACCACGACTGCTCCCAGCCCTCAGTCGCTCCTTCGTCCCCTTGCCGCCCGCTCGTGTCCATGCGCTCATCTCTTATTTCTCAATAGAGGCCTGAATGGGCAATTAGTTTGACCAATTCTCTGCAAAACGTCAGCCTCCATCGCGAGATCTTTCAGTACTACGGTACTGGCTACGGCTTGCGGCGTTGCCTAGCGCAGAGCGACTAAGCCCGAGTCTAGTCTGAATTCTGGGTCGACTCAGAAACTCAGGGCGTCCAAGCCCCTGTATACTGAATAAAAGTAGACTGAACTTAACTTCCTTCCAGGAGTCGTACGACCATTGACTTTTCAATCGAAGCAGGCTAAGCGGATTACAGCGGCTGTCACAGCAGGGGTCACAAGACGTCGCAGCCTATCGCAGCCGATCGCAGCCGATCGCAGCCGTCGCACATCGTCGCTTCGCAATGCCTCCACTCAGAGAATCCGACGCATTTATGCCTCGCTATAAGCGCCGGCAGTTGAGCCTCGTTATAGAGAATTTATCGGAAGAAGAAGAAAGTTCCTGTGTCGAGGATCAGCAGCAGCAGCAGCAGCACCAGCACCAGCAGCACCAGCAGCGGCAACACTTCACCGGACGCGCCCTTGAGGCGTTTCATCGGGCAGCGGACGTCAAGCCACTGGCGCAAAGTCAGCGCCACCGCACGGGTGGGTGGCTCGAAACTCTCCGCCAAGCCTCTCGCATTCGCGCAACCGGCGCTGGGCTTGCGGAGCCCCCTTCCGCCTCCGCGTCCGCCTCCGCCTCCGCTTCCGCTTCCCCATCCCCCTCCGCCCCGTGCCGGTTGAAGCGGAGAGCAGCGGACGCGGGGCTGGAGTGCAGCGCGGGCTCCGCGGAGGAACCGAAGCTGCTGAGGCGCGCAACCTGCCCCGCGGAACGCGCCTACGTGGTTCCCCAGCACTGGGCCTCTGCGGACCCCGCTTCCGCCGCCAGCTCGCGCAACCCCGCCTCTTTCCCCGCCCCCGTTCCCGCTGCTGCCCGCGCAGGCGCTGGCGCTGGCACTGGCGCTAGCGCAACCTGGCCCGCGGGACTCCTTGCGCTGAACGCGCTCGTCTCTCCGCGGTACGCGCCGGGCCACCCTTCACGACCCCCTCCCTCCACCTCCGCCCCCCTTTCCCCCTATAAACGTCATCCGCCGCCCCCGCGTTCCCCGGCTTTTCCGCCCTCCCCTGCTCCGCTTCCCACTTTTCGAGCGGATTTTGCGCCAGCGCCGTCGCCTGCTTCTGCTCCTGATCCCTTCCCAGGGTTTCCCGCCGCACTGTCCGCCGCATCCGGCGCTCCACAGCTGTCTCAAGCGACTCGGAGATCCTTGTCCAAGTCGCCAGCCACGTCAAGGCACCAGTCCACGTCAGCAGGATTTAGAGTCCCGATCTCGCCACGTGTGTCCCAGTCTGCTGACACGTGGACGAATCTGGAAGGAGCAGGGAAAGTGGAGCTGGCGGTTGAAGAGATGCCACGTGCAACGGCGACACAGGGGGTGGCAAAATCAAAAGCAGGAGCAGCTGTAGAACTGCCACGTCAGGTGGTGCACCTGCCACGTCAGCTGCTGCGCTTGCCAGCTCAGCTTCTGCTGGCAGACACGCGCCCTCCACCCCCCCTGATGGAGAGAGGGGTGGATGAGGAAGGAGAGAAGGTGAGGAGGAGAGAGAAGAGGGGAGACGAGGCGGTAGGAAGGGAAAGAGAGAAACAAAAAGTGGTCGTGGTGGTGAGTGCGGAGGGGGAGAAGATGGAAGAGGGGGAGGTGGTAAGGGGAGTGGAGATGAGAGATGGAGAGGAGGGGATTGAAAGAGAGGGTGAAATAGCTGATGAGGGGAGTGAAGCGATGGAGGTGGAGGGAGGAGGAGAAGAGGTGGTAAGAGAAGTAGGAGAAGGAGAAGAGGCTGGAAGGGAAGAAGAACGAAAAGAAGTAGCGAGGGAGGTAGGAGGGGAAGAAACGAAGGACTTACAGAAGGAAGACGTAGGGAGGGAAGAGGGTCAGGAAGCTAGCAATGCGAAAGGAGGTGAAGCAAGAGAAGGAGGTGGCGGTGACAAGCAGGGCGAGGAAAGTGGGTGGTCGTGGGAGGGAAGTGATCTCAATGGGTGCTGTCTCAACGTGGACAGGACGTTTCTTGATGAAACGGTTACAAGCGGTGCTGAGGTGGTTTCAAGCGGTTCTGAGATCGTGATACTATGTGCCGACATGGATCTGGATGCGTTGCCTCAGGAAATGAGTTGCTGCCTTGGGTCCCAGCAGGATCAACCTGGGAAGGCTCACATGGGGCAGCATGAGGAACAGCAGCAAGCGGAGGAGGAGTGCCCGCTAGAGCAGTTGACTCGCGTTGACTCGCTGGAAGATGACGACTTCTGGGAGAGAATGGTCGCCAGCTATGGCACCCTGGACGACCTGCCTGCTACAGCCGGGGTATCTGCCACAGATGAAGGGGACGCTACAGCCAGAGTCGTTGCTACAGCCGGAGTGGTTGCTACAGCTGGAGGGGAAGCGATAACTTCAGGGGCAAGTGGAGTAGCAGTTACAGCCGATGGTGGGATGGAAATGGACGATTGTAGGGTTGGGGGTGTCGCCACAGTAATTGACGAAACTACCCTGCCGCCTGTAACTCCTGACTTTCTGGCAGTTGTTGACGCTGCACTGCCTGCAGTTTCCTCGCTCTCGGTGGGGCATGCAGCAGAAATGATCCACCAACCTCCTTCCGCGGATGTTGAAGCGCTAGATTCGACAGATTCTACAGCTTGTACAGGTGTACCGCGTATGGGAAGACTCGCTGCTGCAGCAGGAGCAGGAGGAGTGGCAGGAGGAGCAACAGGGGTGGCAGGAGGAACAGCAGGAGTGGCAGCAGAACCAGCAGGAGCGGCAGCAGGAGCAGAGGATGTGAATGTACCAGGCTCGGAAGCAAAATCTGAAAATTCAGTTCTCACCGAGCCTGTTAGGTTCGGCAGTCCGACTCCTGCTTCCAAGCCTGAATCTGAAGCTGTTGCGGCAGTCCTGCTAGCGCTGCTGGCTCGGCAACCAAACCTCAATCACGTACGGCCCGAAGCAGGCAGCTGTGTACTGCCCCAAGGATGGGTGTCACCACAGGGATCTGAACAGGGCATGGTGCTTCCAGGCAGCTTCCTTCAGCAACTCGTTGGAAGCTTGGGTGTAGCAGCGCGACCTGCAGTAGAGTCACCCTCGTTAGAGTCACAGGTGCTACAAATGCTGCTGCTGGCACTGGCCAGAAAACGGGATGGGGGGTTGTCGGAGCCAGTAGCAACAGCTGCAGCAACAAACACTCAGTCAAATGGGATGCTAACAACAGCAATGAACACTCAAAATAAGGATGCTTACCATCAGGGCTGGCAGCCGCAGCAGCAGCAGCAACGGCAGCCCAACTTACTTGAGCAACAGCTACTTCTGCTGCTCCTCCCCATGCTGCTACAACAGCAGCAGCAGCAGCAGCAAGCCCAGCAGGAGCAGGGAAGTATTAAGCAGCTATGCTCGGTACTTGGTGGAATGCTCGGCAAGCCACGCTAGCCAGGATATGGCTGCACTCAATAAGGGCAGAAGCTTTGTATTTATGATATGCTATAGCCATCCGGTCCCGTGTGCAATGTATATCTAAACTGTATTCCATTAATTTCATTTTGCCATTTCTTTTTGCCCAGAGCTCATAGCAGAACAACGCCATGGCTGCGTTCTGCGGGCGCATTAGCCCGCATTAATGTACATTGTAATTTTTTCCGATTTGCCAGGAGCCTTCCTTGATAACCAGCCGAAAGGTTATCAAGGCTCGCGATAAGCGCTTGGCTGCCGAGGCAAACCAAGGGCTGCGTTCTGCGGCCGCATCAGCCCGCATCAATGTAAATTGATGCATTCAAGCATGGTTCTACGATCCTTCTGTGATAACCTGCTAACAGGTTATCAAGGTTCGCGATAAGCGCATGGCCGCCGAAGCACAATTATGCCCAATGCCTGCAGAACGGCCTTTTTGGCTTCCGAAATTTGTAATATCAGCGTGTTCCAGGAAGTTTCTACTCCTAGCAATCGGGCGGATCACTGATGCGCGCATGATGCAACTTCGAAAACACGCATCATGCGCGCATCAGCTCATGCGCTGCAACATTATTGGCCAATCAGTTTGGCCAACTCAAAATTTACCGAACAAGAAGCTTCCAGGAAACCTATAACATTTAAATTGTGAGAGTTGGTCAGGAATTTGATTTTCTAATTTCCTGACCACAATTCAATTTCGTCAGATTGTCCGAACCTCAATTCAAAATTTCCGAACCTCAATTTCTAAATGTGTAATTTGAGAACCTCAATTTCTGAATGTCCGCACCAGGCCGAGCCTCAGACGCATCAGAGCTGATGCGCCCGCAGAACGCAGCCAAGAGAGAATGCCTGCAGAACGGTCTTTTTGGCAACCACAAAATTACATGTTGTAGCTCTCTGAGAAGTTTAACGCCCTAGCAATCTGACGATCGCGTGATGCGCGCATGATGCAACGCCGAGAAGACGCATGATGCGCGCATCAGCTCGAATTGGGCAATTGAACAGTGCATCATGGCGTGTGGGGAAAGCGTCAGGTGCGTTCTTCCCTGCTTCTAAGAACCTTTAGCACCCTCGAATTCCTCGGAAATTTGAGATCGAAATTTGACATGCCCGAAATTCGAAATTTCCAATTTCCGATTTCCCGACCCTGAATCTCCATTTGCCGAACCTCGTTTTTTCAATTTCAAATTCCTCATTCCCGAACCTCAATTTGTCAATGTGCGGATCAGGCCGAGCCTAGGGCGCATCAGAGCAGATGCGCCCGCAGAACGCAGCCCATAAGATGGATTTATCGTACCATGTTTTTCTCCCTATGTTCAACGCAAGAACAAGAACAGCAATACTGATCGCTCGCTATCCTGGAAGTCGGAGTGGGAGGTTGCACAGCTTCTGTGCTCTCACTTCGGTCAACTTAGTTTCGTCACGGTGCAAAACGGTTTTTCTTGAGAACCGCTTCCCACCGTTTTGAACCGTCCTGAACCACGATACGCAAAAAGCTTCTGCTTTTGAGAAATCGGGACACTTAGGGCGCTTCACCTTGGGGCTCGAAGGGTCAAATCCGAACATCCATTACGAATTTACCGTACGAACAGTTTTCCGACAAGATCCGAACACAAGTTTGAAACCCTGGTGAATGTGATAGCTTGTGACCAGAGGTGACAGTATGTTCGAACATGCGACGTCGCCATGTATTGGGCGACTTCGCAAAACGTCCCAGGAATTTTTTTCAATCGCCTGCCATTCCAGTTCGACGCATTTTTCGTCCATCCAGTCAAATTTCTCTTCGTGCTCTACTACTACCGCTCACCTGGTGGTTTTCCAGCAACAATTGCCTTTTCGATGCACTGCGACAGTTTCTGGTCAACAAACGAACTCGCCTGCGACTAGGCGGAGCTTAGGGTTAGCGACATCGCTAAGGTCCCTACGAATAGTGGCGAAGCTTGTAACACTCTGCCTGTTCGAACAAGGGGCTTGTTCGAACTGGGAGGTGAAACGCCCTTATCGGGATTATGCAGAGGAGATAAGCTGACCAGTAACGGTCACCGACATTTCCGATCGTCCTAGACTCCCAGCACTGGTACCTCCCTGCGGCCACTTCCTGATAGAATCTCTTGAAATGGCCAGCTCGTCTTGGTCATCCTCGTTACTGCGCTTCGCTGATTAACGAGTAATCGATAGTTGGCAGGAAATAGCGTTTTGCGAAATATGGCCTCGTCGTGGTCATCCTCGTTATGGTCTTCTTCGGTTGCATGTTCTGCCTCTTCGCAACCTAGCGACGAGGTAATCCTTCGCCTGCTACGTCTGGTTACCACTTCGTCCGATCTCAAATCCTGCTCGCTCGTGTCCCGCCGATGGCTCCGCCTTCACGGGCAGATAAAAACTTCCCTCAAGCTCTACGATTGGTCCATGCTCGAGTCGGGCCGCCTGGCGGAACGCTTTCCGAACCTGACCGAGCTCGACCTCTCCCCAGCCTGGTGCAACTCTTCCGACCCTGAGGTGTTTGGTTCGGCAGCCGTGTACATGACACGTGGCACGTGCACGATGCGGCTCGACCCGGACGTAGTTAATCCGTTCGAACCGGACCACAGACTAGAGGAGCAGAGCCCGTCTCCTGACAGTTTCGACCGTGGATTGCGGGAGTTGGTTCAGAGTTACCCCAATCTACAGCGTCTGTGTTTGGTTGACGTTTTCCGAGCCAAGAAGGGATCCTATAACGCGGATAAGGACGCGGCGGGGTTTTTGGGCCACTCGCACTATCGGGCAGAACCAGTTGGTGACTCTAACGGAGCTGACTCTAACGGAGCACGCACGCAGAAGAACGGTACAGTGATTTTAGATAGCATTATTGCAGCTAGGGCTCGTTATGACGACGATTATACTGACCGCGATTCTGAAGGCCTAGATATTATCGCAGAGGGGTGTAGCATTCTACAGGAATTGGAGCTTCGACAGTGTACAGACGATTCGTTACAAGCAGTTTCCGGGTGTAAAAATCTGCAGGTGGTGAGATTAGTGGGGGCAGTTCCGGGATTTTATCACGCGACTTTCACTGACCGCGGGTTACGAACACTTGCAAGGGGATGCAAGCGAATAGTGGAGCTGTCTCTAAAGGGGTGCGAAGTTGGGCGGGCTGGTTTGTTTGTAGTGGCCAGGGAATGCCCAATGCTATCAGATCTGACACTGTCCGGGAGATATTTTCGTCCCGATTGGCTCGGCGCGCTCTGCTTCTGTTCGAACCTGCAGACGCTCAGGCTCGAGAATTTCCACCAATCTGAGCCCGACGAGTGTGCAGCAGCGGTTGGGTGGGCGGGGGGGGTGCGGCAGGAGGTGGGAGCAGGCGGGCAGCAGAGCGGGGAGGAGGAAGAAGAAGGGGAGGGGAAGGATGAGGAGGAAGGGGAGGAGGAGGAAGAGGGGAAAGCGGAGGGGGAGGAAGGGGATGGGGAAGAAGGGGTAGAAGATGGAGAAGGGGGAGAAGGGGCCGAAGGGGAGGAGCAAGAGGAGGAAGGGGAAGGGGAGGGGGGTGAGGAGGAGGGGGAGAAAAAGAAGGGTGCGGATTCTGTAGTGAAGCATTTGGAAAGGGAGATGTCTGATATCTCTCTTCCTCCATCCCGTCGCTTCCTAGCCACCGTCAAAGCCGCAGTGCACCGCTCTAAAACCATCAAAACCGGTTCAGGCAGCACCAGCACTCCTCCCACGCCCAGTCGCGTCAAAGCGAGCCCCAGACCACCCCAGCCACCCCCAGGGTTTCTATCCCCAGTGGAAACCCTACAGCTAATACACTGTGACTTGCGCTCACGGCCGTTCTTCCTCGCACTCCTCGCCGTCTGCGCCAATTCCACCGCACTGCACCTTCGCAACTGCTGCGGTTTGGATGACGCCTCCCTCGCTGGGATCTCGATCGCCACGAACCGTCGGATCGGCCGGCTGGCGATCGAAGGGTGTCCGTTGATCACGATGAAATCGCTGGAAGCGGTGGTGCTGGCACTGCCAGGGTTGAGGCAGTTGGTGGTGGGGGACTGTGGGGGAGTGAGGGATGAGGAGATGGGAGGGGAGTTTGCAGATCGGATTTTCACGTTGAAGGAACTGAAATGGCAGCCGTCAGGAGGGAGATTGGCTGGGACGGGGCTTTTTGAGAAGGGCAGGTGGCTGGTGCAGGGGGGGTGAGAGAGAAAAGAGGGTGCGATGGGATGCGGTGGGATGTGGCCGGGTGGGTTGAGGCAGGTGGGGTCACGATGAAGTCGCTAGAAGCGGTGGTGCTGGCACTGCCAGGGTTGAGGCAGCTTGTGGTGGGGGACTGTGGGGGGGTGAGGGATGAGGAGATGGGAGGGGAGTTTGCGGATCGGATCTTCACGTTGAAGGAACTGAAACGGCAGCCGTCAGGAGGGAGACTGGCTGGGGGCTTTTTGAGAAAGGCAGGTGGCTGGTGCAAGGGGGTTGAGAGAGAAAAGAGGGTGCTGTGGGGTGGGATGATGAGATTGATGGGGAGTTTGCGGATCGGATTTTCACGTTGAAGGAACTGAAGTGGCAGCCGTCAGTGGGGAAGGTTGGCGGGGACGGGTCTTTTTGAGAAAGGGCAGGTGGCTGGTGCAGGGGGGTTGAGAGGAAAGAGGGTGCGTGTGGGGTTGGTTTGGTGGGGTCAGGGCTGTTTGAAAGAGAAGAAAGATAAAATGGGAGGGTGCGGTGCAATGTGGTGGGGTGGGCTGTGGGGATGTAAATAGGAGGGTGCGGTGCAGTGGGGTTTTGTGCGCGATTTGAGCTGCTCAGGGTGAAACGGCACACGGTTTTGAGAGATTTCAAGGGCAATCTTACTGTGGTTTTGGAGCTGAGCTGACTCTGTAGGGGGGATGCTAAATGGGGTTGAATAGAAAAGATATATTTTTGGCACTGTTGACAAACTTTAGGGGTGTACTAAAACTGAACTACGGGGACAGGCTAGTGTTCTAATGCTGATAAGAAAACAATGTAGAATGTTCTAGAAATAATAACGAGACGTTGCATAGCATATGGTACAAAGCACTGACACTTTTGAGAGGACAGAATAAGCAGCCCGTGCAGAGGATCAGCATCACCAGCTTCACAGGCTGAATGCTTGAGTTCGAATATCAACACCTGCAACAGGTTAATTGGCCCCTCCGTCCCTGAAACCTTCACCTGACAACGATCGCTGCACAGCTGCAACAGCAGCAGCACTGCCACCAACAGCACCGCCAGCAGCACCACCAGCAGTAGCACCAGGAGTAGCACTGCCAGCACCAGGAGTAGCACTGCCAGCACCATCCACACTGCTGCTTCTACCTAAGCCGTTACTCCCACTGCCCCAACCACCACCACTTCCCCCACTGCCACCGCTGCCACCGCTGCCACCGCTGCGCCTGCTGCCCCTGCCTCTGCCGCTGCTGTCTGCTGCAGCTGCAGCACTGCTGTTGCCACCATCGTAAGTGCTGCTGGCGCCATTTCCATTACCATCCACACCTCCCTTCAACCCTGCTCCTGCTGCTGCTGCTGCTCCTGCTCCCAACCCTGCTCCCGTCCCTGTTGCCCCAGATATTGCTGCTGCACTGCCTACTACCCCATCCCCCCCAGCTGCTCCTGCTGCACTCACTGCTTCAAACGCTGCTGCTGCTGCCTCTGCTGCTGCCAGGGCCTCAGCCAGAGAGGAGTCAGGAGAGGGTTGGGCAGGAGCAGGGGACAGCAGGGGGAGAGGCGGATGGGAGGAAGATAGTGTGCCTGAGAATGCAGCATCAGCACCACTGCTGCTATCTCCGATCAAACCACTACCACCGCTACCACTGGTATTACCAGCAGCAGAAAATGAAGCTGCAGCCGCCGCTGCTGCTGCGGAGGAAGAAGCCTCGATAGCAGCACAGCTGCCGCTGTTGCTGTTGCTGCCGGTAAGCATAGCAGCATTAGGAGCGATAGTAATACTGCCAGTACTGCTGCCAGTGCTGCTGCTGAAACTGCTGCTGCTGAGAGTGCTGCTGGGGAGAACAGCGGCGGCGGTGGGGGTGGGTGCGGTGGCCACGGTGGGAGCAATAGAGGAGCTTGCTCTGCTGCGGATGGTGGCTGCGATTTTGGTGTTCATCAGGTCTACCTCCTTGGTGATTGCTGTCGCGAGAGCCCTGTGGATAATAGGAAGCAAGGGGCATATGAATAAAGGGGAGGGGAGGAGAAACGAGAGAGAAGAAAGGGGCAGAAATAGGGACTCAAACCTCACCTCTGCGGGCTCATAGTGGCAGCAGCGATTTTCTTCCCCTGCTGAGACCCTGTTCTCAGCCCCTTCTTGAGCCCTCTCACAGAACAAACACCTTACATGCCAGAGCACACCCACACACACATGCATACACGCACCCGCACACGAGCATGCACACCCACTGCCCTCACCTCTGTGGGCTCATAGTGGCAGCAGCAAGCTTCTTTCCCAGCTGAGACCCCTTCATTTGCCCCCCTGACACTGCCTGAGCCACCATCTTTTGTGCAATCTGTTGATTTAAGCATTCACTCAGAACTCACCTCTGTGGGCTCATAGTGGCAGCAGCAAGCTTCTTCCCCAGCTGAGACCCCGTCATCAGCCCTCCCAACACTGCCTGCGCTGCACCACACCGTCTTCTTTGCACCCCATTGATTCGGTGTTAGCTGATGCAAACTCACCTCTGTGGGCTCATAGTGGCAGCAGCAAGCTTCTTCCCCAGCTGGGATCCCGTTCTCAACCCCTTCTTGAGCCCTCCCAGCACAGCCTGAGCCACCATCTTCTTTGCACCCCTCCCCTCCACCGCACTTGGTGTAGCCGCCTCCCCCCCTTCGCCCTCCCCACACTCCTCCCCCTCCTCCCCCTCCTCGCCTATCGCCCCCTCCTCATCCCCCTCCTCTACTTCCGGAAGTGGGGGAGTGAGGGAGTGAGGGTGGCTGGAGTGTGGCTCAGGTGGCGTGATCGGGGACATGATTGCGTTGAAATCACCTGAGAAACCACCTGGCGAAGCACCTGGAGTACCACCGGCGGTAGCAGCACCAAAATGGTCGGTGTGGGGCGGCACTGGAACCCAGAGAGTAGCATCGCTTGTCTGTTCTGGCCCCCCTCCTGGTGAAGAAGCCACTGCTCCTACTCCGCCCCCCACACCCACCCACTCTCCTCCCCCTCCTCCCCCAACTACCCCTCCTCCTGCTCCTCCACCCCCTCCTCCTGCTGCTGCTGCTGCCGCAGCGGCTGCTGCTGCTGCTCTAGAGCTGTCTGTTGCAACCGAACCACCAAAGATGGCGTTTCTGAAGCTAGCGCTGCTGCCTAGGCTGGCGCTGCGGCCGCTGCTGCTGCTGTGATGATAGCTGCCAAAGCTGCTGCTTCTGCTCGCCCGGAGGGTGTGCGGAGTGGTGGAGGGCGGTGCATTTTCCCCTGAAGCTGCTTCTGTTATACCTCCTGCTGCTTGTCTCCCCGCTGCTACAGCAGAAACAACAGGAGCATCGTGCGAATCCTCAGCGCTCCTACCTGCAGTGATTGCAGCACCAGCAGCACCAGCAGCAGCACCAGCAGCACCAGCACCAGCAGCACCAGCAGCAGCAAGACTAGCAGCAGGACCAGCACCAGCAGCAGCCATGGCTCGAAGAACAGGCTCAAGCTTGCCGCTACCAGTTCTAGGAGTCGCGTGATCACCACTCCCCGCACCAACACCACCACCAGCAGCAGCAGTAGCAGCAGCACCAACCGCAACAGCAACACCAGCGCTATCACCACCTACAGCACCACCACCAGCGGAAGAATCATCACCACCCAGCCAAGTGCTTCCACTCGAGCTGCTGCCCTCCCAGCTTAAGTTACCTGGCGCTGTTGCTGCTGCTACTGCCGTATTAGGAGACAGAACTGATGCTGCAGCTGCCAATGCTGGTGCTGAAGCTGCTGCTACAGCCGGTGCTACAGCCGGTGCTACAGCTGCTACAGCTGCAGAAGAAGACCCATACGAGCCCAGCAGTATCGGCCCAGACTTGCTCGGCCCCTTCCTTCCCAACCCTTCCATCCGAACCAGATTCATAGCCGCGGAAACAAGAGGCCGGTCCCGTTCCCCGCCCTCCCTACCCCCCTCCCGACCACCCTCCCCCTTACCCCCACCCTCCCTCTCTCGATTCGGGTCCTTTCTAAGCCGAATTCCAGGCACTGAGAAGATATTTCCTCTGTGGGGGCTGGGCTTAGGGGGACTGCTATCCCGTTCCCGCTCTCTAGCCCTCCCCCCTTGCTCGTGCGAAATCCCTATCCCGAGCCCTCCCCTCCCTGCCCCTGTAGCCAATGCCAACAGCCCTGGTTTAAGAGAGATTTCGGGATTGGTTACTGCAGCAACAGTTGAGCCCTCCCCGGTTGAGCCTGCTCCAGATACGCCTGCCCTGGACTCGGCTGAGAGGAGAGGTACTGCTGCTGTTCCTAGCCCGGCTAACTCACCTGATTGCATATGTGCACCTCCTCCTGCTGCTGCTGCAGTTGCTGCTGACGTGGCAGCAAGAGGAGCTTTGTGGGGGCTCAGAATGCCTGATTCCTGCCCTGAACCTTCCCAAGAGCTTGTTTCCTGTGCTGACGTGGAGAAGACAGACGCTGAGGTAGCAGCTGTTGGGGAGACTAGAGCTGCCACATCACCAGCACCGCCAATGCTGTTGTTGCTGTTGCTGTTACCCGTATTGCCAGTACCAAGGCTGCTCCCCCCTCCACTACCTCCTCCCCCCAGCAACCCCCCTATCTTAAACACATTCCCATGCCGTTTCTTCTCGCCCTTCTTCTCACTCTTCCTCTTCTCCTCCTCCTCCTCCCCTTCCATCCCCTCACCCACCTCCCTCTGAACCCGCCCCTCCTTTCCTTCCCGCCTACCCTTTCCTTCTCGCCCCTCCTTTCCACCCTCTCCTCCCTCTCTCCCGCCTTCCTCCCCTGCTCTCCCCTCCCCTGCTCTCCCCTCCCCTGCCTTCCCCTCCCCTTTCTCATCCGCTTTCCTTCGAAACTTTAAAGCCCCTACAGACTGCAACGCCCCCACACCCAGCCCTATCCCTGCACCCGCACCCTTTTGCGCAGCTTCAAAGAAACTGCTCCCAATACCACCTCCCCCACTGCCACCTACACTGGTACTACCTCCCCCTCCACCTGCCCCTGTTCCTGAACCACCACCGCCACTGCCACCACTCGCACTGCCAGCACCACCGCCCTTAGCACTCTTACTGCGTCTCATGCCCCCTCCCGTTCCTCCTGTTCCCCCTTCAACCCCTGTTCCTCCTCCCCCTCCCGCTGCTGCTGCTGATTCTTCCTCCATTGCCGAATGTGATCGTGGCTTGGATGGGGTTGGCGCATCATCAGAAACGGACCACGGTGCTGCAGCTGCTGCTGCTTCTGCGTCACTAGCTGCAGCACCGCCAGCAGCAGCAGCACTGGTTGCACCACCAACACTGGCAGCACCATCACCAGCACCAGCAAAGGCAGCAAAAGATGCGCCACCAATACCAGCTTCACTACCAGTGTCTGCCTCTTGGCTACCCTGCCTTTGAAGCCCTTCTCCTCCTCTCTCCTTCTCCTTATGCTCCCTCCTCTCCTCTCTCCCTCCTTCCTCCCCTCCCCTTTCCCTCCCCACACTCCCATCCCTCCCCTTCTCCCTCGCCCGCCCTCCCTTCTCCTCATCTCTTTCTCTTTCCTTCTCTCTCCCTCCCTTGTCCCTATCTTTCTCCTTCCCCTTCTCCCTCCCCCCACGAGTCCAAGAGGAGGGACCCCACTTAGGCGTGAACCCTTCCTCTTTCTCTTTCTTCCCTCCCATCGGGCTGCCTGATAACGAAGCAGCCAATACGGAGGATGGGACGGAGGATGAAACCGTGCGGGAAGGCGGGGTGGAGGGTTTGCTGATCAGCAGCCGTTCAAGTGTGGTGGGCGCAGCAGGGGAAGGACCGGAGGGAGTGTGGGTGGCAGAGGAAGGAGTGCCGGCAGATGGGAGAGAAGAAAGAGAGGTCAACGGGGAGGAGGAAGACGAGGAGGAATGGGGCAAAGCAGCGGTAGTGTGTCCCAAGGAAGCCCCAGCAGCAGCGGGTGCCATGGCAGCTGCCGCACCGGCAGCAGCAGCAGGAGCAGCAGCTGGGTTGGTGGAATCGCCTGGCATAAGTGGGACTGGAACCGGATTGTAGAATGAGAATGAAGCTGCACGACCCATACCCCCCCCTCCTGCCCCACCTGCTGAATCGTCCATTCTCTGCTGCTCCTGATCTAGCCCAGCCCCTCCCACCCTCTCTGCCCTTCCTTTCTCTGCTCCCTCTCTCCCTAACAGACCCTCTGCCTGCTCTACCTCCCCTTCCTCCTCCACACCCCCGTGGCTTGACGTTTCAGAAGTTGCAAAGGAGGCTTCCTCGCTCTGTCCTGTTGACGTCAGCGTGTCTGAGAGAGAAGGGAAGGAGGGGAATGAGCCTGAACCCCCTGCCACGTCAGCTGCTGCTGCTCCTCCTCCTGCTAATGCTGCGCCTACTGCCCCTCCTGCTAATCCTGCTTCTCCTCCTGCCGCTGCCACTGTTAACGCCCCTCCAAGCACCCCTCCCTCCCCCATTATAAGCTCATTGATCCTCTCACTCTCACTCACACCATCACGATCACTATCACTCTCACTCCCTCCTCCCCCCACTCCTGCCCCCCCCACACCTGCACTGGCTGTCCCTCTAAGCCACTCCTCACTCCCTCCCCTGAACCTCCCATCACTCTCTGCATCACTCTCACTGTCACTCTCCCTCCTCCCCTTTCCTCGCGTCCCTCCCCTCCTCTTCCGCCCCCACTTCCGTATCCTCCCCCACTCCCGCATCTTCCCCCACTCACTGTCACTCTCTCCCCCCGCTTTACCCCCCTCATGCACAACCAACCTATCCACAAACGAATCAGCCCCTTCGTTATAATCACCTCCGCCAGGGCGCCACTGCTCCCGCTCATACTCCCCCTCACTGTCACTCTCCCTCCCCATACTCGCAACCCTTCCCGCAACCCTAGTCTCTCTCTCACCCCCCCCTTCCCCTGCTCTCTGCACGACAGCTCCTGCTGTATCAGGCCGATCCCCTTCCTTCTCCCTCGCTCTCTCATTCTCTTCCACTTCCTCCTTGAACTCTCCTGGTAAGTCCTCCACTGAACCTTGCAGCTTCTTCCTCCTCTCCCTCCTCTCCCGCCGCTCCCTCTCCTTCTCCCGTTTCACGGCCCGCTCTCGCTCCCGCTTCTCCTCCCGCTCCTCCCGCTCCCTCTCCTTCCGTTCCTGCCTCTCCCTCTCCCTCTCCGCCTTCTCCTTCTCTCTCTCAGCCCTCTCCCGCTCCTTTTCTCGCTCCCTCTCTGCTCGCTCCTTCTCCTTCTCCCTCTCCCTCTCTGCTTTCTCCCGCTCCCGCTCCGTCCGCTCTCTCTCCTTCTCCCTCTCCCTCTCCTTATCCTTCTCTCTCTCCCACGCCAGCACGCCGAAACCAAATCTAGACCGTTGCTCAACCTCATCCTCCTCTTCTTCGCCCAGTAAATCCCCCACCCCCAATTTCTTCCTCCTCCTTCTCTCCTTCTCCTTCTCCCTCTCCTTCTCCCTACCCTTCTCCCCTTTCTCGCCCTTCTCCTCCTTCTCCTCCTCCTTCTCCCTCCCCCCTGCCCGCACCCCCTCTTTTTTCTTCCAAATCTTCATCCTACTGCCCAGCCCTCCAAACACATCCCCAACCACACCGAAGTCAAACGAATCCAACCGCATTCCATCCATCGACGCCCCTTCCTCCACCCACCTCTCCATCCGAAACGAGTGCAGCTTCGGGCTCATACCCATCGAATCCCCCTCCCGCTCCCGCCTCTCCTCCCTCTCCCTCCACCCCCGCTCATCCCTCATCTTCTTATCCCTCCTCCCTTTCCTCCACCAATCCCCGCCTTCCCCTTTCCCTTCAATCTCCTCCCTCCCTCGACTCTTTCCCGACCCTCTCTCCCACACCCTAGACTTCCCCCTCAACATCCGCCCAACATCCATCTCATCCCCACCCCGCCTCAGATTAAAACTCGGCGTCCCGGGCAACCTCCTTCCAAAAAGCTTCCGCCTCTCCCCCCGCCTCCGCATCCGCCCCTCCGCATCCCCGCCCTCCCCTTCCCCCTCCCCTTCCCCTTCCCACTCCGCGCCCCCATCCTCATCCCCGTCCCCCTCCCCCTCCCCGTCCTCCCCCTCCAGATCCTCCAAGTCATGAACCTGCAGTGCGGCAGCAGCAGCAGCAGCTGTGTCCTTGTTCCCTCCCGTGGCCTGTATCAGCTGAGAATATGCCTCCTGCAACACGCCATCTAGTCTCGCCCACTCGTGCATCACCTCATCTTTCACCTCTTCAGGGCTCCTACCATCTCTGATCGCGCACTTCTCAACAAACGTGAGGGCGCGGGCCTCTGAGTTTCGGATCAGGGCGATGCGGTATGCAGCTAGAGCTAAAGACGCTGCCAACCCTTCTCTCAACTCCTCTCTCTGCTGCTCCCTCTGCTCCCTCTGCTGCTCCCGCTGCTGGGAATAACTGGGGGATTGAGGCAGGGAGGACGGGGCACTACCTAGCCCTCCAGAAAGACCCTCACCTCCTCCTGCCCCTCCTCCTGCTCCCCCTGTGAGAGAGAGAGAGCGGGCAAGGGAGGAGGAGAGAGCGCCTATAGACGCAGCAGTGGAAGTGGAGAGGCCTAAGATGCGAGCATGATCCATCAGTCTGCGCTGACTAACTGCCACATCCCTCCCGTCACTCCCTCCCTCTCTCCCCTCACCTCCCTCCCCCACCCCTCCCTCTCCATGACCATCCGCCCCTGCTGCCGCCGCAGCCGCCGCCGCTGCTGCGGCGGCGGCTGCTGCTGCTGCTTCAGCTGCTGCTCCCTCTGCCCGTACTTTCTCTAGTTTCGCCTTCACCCGCCGAACGTGCTCCCACGTGAGATGCTTCTCAGCAACTTCCATATTCGTCTGCTCCCGCCACCACCCGGCTTCATCCTCCTCCTCCTGCGCCACCACTCCCAACACCCTCCCTAACGCCACGAACCACCTCCCAACGTGCACAACCGCATTGGCAAACCACCGCCTCAGGCCCCTCTGCCTGCCCACAAACTTGCGCTTCTCCCCTCCCAGCCCTAGCTCCAATGCAGCAACCAGTCCCGTGTCTCCTGCGCCAAGCCTAGCAGACCGCACTCTCCCACACAGCGTACACCTCCCGCTTCCCCCCTTCTTCCCCACCCCCACCCCCACTTGCTCCCCTGCTTCCCCTGCACTCCGCGCCCCTGCCCGAGCCCCTGCCCCCGCCCCTGCCCCCGTCCCTGCCCCTGCTCCTGCCCCTGCTGCCCCGCTCACAGCTTCGTCGAAAAAGCAGGCAGCACAGAACCCGCAGCTGATTTGTAACCGTAACCAGAGGTCCCTCCCTCCTCCTGCTGACGCCAATAGCTCCTGGTAAAACGAAAGCAGCCGCTCCAGGTCCTGGGAAGCTTCTTGGAAGCAGCCGACGGACTGGTAGAGGCAGGCTCGGCACCAGAGCGCGTCGGCTCGGTGTGGCTCCAGGGCTGAGGCTCGGGAGCAGTCGGCGATAGCATCGGCGATGCGGCTGGAGGCTTGGAAGGCTGCGGCTCGGCGGAGGAAGAGAGAGGCGGCTAGGGACTGGGGTATGCCCTTCTTGGACTCGAGAACTGCAAGGGGGGAGGGGAAGGGCGAAAGGAGGTGGGGGTGGTTAGGCAGCAATTTGAGAGACAAATATCTGATGCTTGGTGGAGGAAGAGAGAAGCGGCTAGGGACTGCGGAATGCCCTTTTTGGACTCGAGAACTGCACGGGGAGGGGAAGAGGGGTTATAAAGATATTAAACAAAAAAAACATGTGCGGCTCGGCGGAGGAAGAGAGAGGCGGCTAGGGACTGGAAAATACCCTTCTTGGACTCGAAAACTACGTGGAGGGAGGGGAGGGGGGGGGGGTGTTTGGGGTTGGGGGGAGGAAGGGGAGTGGGGGAGAGAAAAGTAGAAGGGACGGAGTTGCTTCTGACATACACAGTGACACATGCACACACGTGCACGCACACACACACAGACACACACATACGCTCACGTTCACAAAGTCACAACCACACACACAACACACACACCCTTGTAAGAAGGTGTCACCTTTGGAGTAGTGGCGGACGGCTTCAGGGTAAAGCCCGGCAGCAAAGGCAGCGTCGCCAGCAGAGCGGCGCCAGAGCAGGAAGCGGATGACGAGGATGAGGCGGTTGAGGTGAGGGTAGGTCTGATGCACGACCCACTCCCATGCACAACCTTACACTCACCTTTGGAGTAGTGGCGGACAGCTTCCGGGTAAAGGCCCGCAGCAAAGGCAGCGTCGCCAGCGGAGCGACGCCAGAGCAGGAAGCGGATGACGAGGATGAGGCGGTTGAGGGTCTCCCCCGCTGAGGAGGACGCGGAGAGGGGTGCCATGGCTGCGGGGTGGGCGGCGTCAAACACTGGGAACTGGTCCTCGTCCATCAGTGCACTCTCCTTGCTGGTGTGACAGGGGGTGAGCGGGGAAGGGACCAGGGGGGATGCGGCAGTGGAAGTGAGAGCGGTGCTATTGGGGGAGAGGCGTCAAACACGGGGAACTGGTCCTCGTCCATCAGTGCACTCTCCTTGCTGGGGTAGGGTGGGGGTTCGATTTGAGGAAAGTGAGGAAGGGAGGGAGGGGATGGGTGGCAGGGATGTGAGTGTGTTGCTGCGGGGTGGGCGGTGTCAAACACTGGGAACTCATCCTCGTCCATCAGAGCACTCTCCTTACTGAGGTGGAGAGAGACGCAGCGGGTGCAGGGGGGAAGGGGATAGGAGAGCGGTGGAGGGAGGCGCAGGGGGGCGCAGGAGGGTGCAGGAGGGTGCAGGAGCGAAGGGGATAGGAGAGGGGCGCCGTGTGGCTGCGGGGTGGGAGGAGGCGTCGAACACTGGGAACTGATCCTCGTCCATCAGTGGACTCTCCTTGCTGGTGATGGGTGAAGGGATTGAGAAGAGCGAGGGTGTAGGGTCGGGGGGAAGGGAGAGGGGTTTCCGGGAATGAGATGTAAGAGGGGGTGCTGTGGCTGCGGGATGGGTGCTGTCAAAGACTGGAAACTGGTCGTCGCCCATCAGTGCACTCTCCTTGCTGGGATGCACGGGGTGTGAGGGGGGGTGTGGGGGGGAAGGGGATGCACGAGGGTTGCTGTGGCGGCAGGCAGGAAGGGAGTAGTCCATCCTTGCAAACTCCTGGCTGTGATAAGGAAAGAAATAATGGTGCTGCATGGGGAGGTATGGTGCAGTATGGTTCAGCACAGTCCAGCATGGTTCAGCATAGCATGGCATGGGCGGTTATGGGTGAGGGAGGGAGGGATGGGGAAGGAGGGGATGTAGGGAAGAGTGTGTTACTGAGCAAGAGAAAGCAACAGGCAAGAGAAAATCACCACGGTACAGCCTGTCCCATCACGCGCCATGCTACAGCCAGTATCATGTCTCGCTGCGCTACAGCCTGTTCACAACTCACCGCGCTACAGCCTGGCTGAGCCTCTTGGCGCGTCGGAGCAGCACGAGCGCCTCGTCCAGCCAGCCCAGGTGGTACGTGGCCTGGCCTAACAGCAGGCACTGCCACATGTCCGTCGCTGTCTTGTTCTCGTCCTCCGCTGCACAGAGCAGGGAGCGAGGGAGAGAGACAGAGGGAGTGAACAAGACAGGAAGGTTGAGAAGCCAGTGAAAAGGGATGGGACGCGAGAACATTGACGTGGCGCCTATCTCGCATCTCACTGCATATCACGCAACCAGCTGTGCCCGCACGGCGGAGATGACCGCTATCTGCCCCGTGTATCCCACCAGGCCCCACTCTCATCACCCAACTGGTCTGAACATTACATGCGCATCCTTGCAGTTCTTTGCATCGATGCTTGTGCTCGCTATAAGAAAACCCACAATCTCACTGTAGTGCATGGCGTTGTGCACTGTAGATAGATCCAGCAGGTATTCCGCCAGCACTGCCACCATCTCCTCGAACCGCTGCAGGCGCATCAGCGCGCTTCCTTCCTCACACCATCGCCTGTACCCGCTATAAGCAGCCCCACGAACTCACCGTAGTGCATGGCGTTGTGCACTGTAGAGAGATCCAGCAAATATTCCGCCAGCACCGCCACCACCTCCTCGTACCGCTGCAGGCGCATCAGCGCACATCCTTCCCCGCCTGTATTCGCTATAAGCAACCCCACAAACTCACTGTAGTGCATGGCGTTGTGCACTGTAGACAGATCTGGTAGATATTCCGCCAGAACCGCCACCACCTCCTCATACCGCTGCAGGCGCATCAGCGCGCGCGCGCGGATCTCCTGCAGCGACCCCGCCAGCCACGGCGCGCGGTCCACCGCCGCGGATAGCTGCGCCACGCCAGCTGCCACGTCAGCAGGCGTCGCGCCACGTAGACTGGCTTTGGCTCGCACAATCAGCTCCTTGGCGATCTGTGGGGCGGCGAAGGGGAAGGCGAGGGCGAGGTGAGGGCGAGGTGAGGGCGAGGGAGGCTTTAAGCCTTGTCAAATGCTCCTGGGTGATTAGAGAGCTAAGTGAAGATGTCAGGGTTAAAACCGAAATCAGGAGAGAGGGGGATGACAGGGGAAGGTGAATATGTCAGGGAGACGGAAAGATGTCATTAAATGGGGAATTTGTAAGGACTGTGGGAAATGGAAGTGAGTGGAAAATCTTCCAATTACAAGGGAATGGTCGGTGAACAGGGAATTGTCAGTGGATGGGGGAAATGGCAAGCCCGTGGACATGAGAGAGCCGTGCGTAGTACCTCTTCTGAGTCCTTCCGGCGGAGCCATAAGACGATAACGTAGACGGTAACGCACATGATCCCGGCTAGCCCTAAGAGGCCTGCCAGGAGGATTGGCAGCATTCTGACGATCCACCATGCGGCCGCCATAACGCAGGTAGCGAAGGCTCAGACGAGAAAGCTGCATTAACTACTGTGGAAATTCACGTCGCAGACTCATTTCGGCGAATGATGAGAACCGTTGGCGAAGTTTCGAAATCTCAGCGTAATACGACTTTAATTAAGGTAGACGTATCTGCATACGACCAGGAACAAGTAACAACAATTTGCGCGACAATGCGCGCGTATGGACGGGGAATGTGGGATCCAGTTGCTTCGTCCGAACTAACATTGATTCGTGATCCTGGCGATGAGAACAGACAGAGCCCTAATAGAAATGCCTGCAAATACTTAACGTGTTGTATAATCTCCAGGAGAATCTCGACACGAGCGTCTTCGACTACAAAAACGCGGGGCCTGGGTGGAGCATGAATATGTAAGCAATAATTCAATTCGACTCAATACTCGGCGATACTAGTTTCACTGGAGGAGATAGTAAGCGCGGAAACTGAAGCCCGGAGATTGGATGCTGAAGGACAGGACTACCCTAAACGGATTACAATTAGACTACAGTACGCGGAAACTGGGACCACGCTTAGAACTCTCCATCTCCTCGACGCTGATATTCTTCGGAAACTTCTGACGTCAGCCAACAGCCATCTCGCTAAGACTAATTTGCGAAACTAACAGCCATCCCAGCCATGTCTGGGATATAAGCCGTGACATGCTTGTTGATTCTCTTTTCTGCTCCGCTCCACCCATCCAGTAGCACCACCCCACCCCACACGCACCCCCTGATTCCATGAATCGTTTCAGGCAGATGCAATCCCAAGGTCGTGGCACAACAGAAGATGCGGTTTAGTGTGATTGTTTTGTGCGCTAAAGATTTTTTACCGTTTATTTTACGGTTGGATGCGATTTCGAGTTGGATGAGCTTGCTGGCTGAACAGTTTTGACAACTTGGTCACCAAGTGGGGAGAGAGGGAGGGGAGGTGTGCGAGGACGGCTATTCGGTAAGAGCATATCCGCTTAGTATAGTCTCATATCATCAATGTCTACATCAAACTTCCTCAAAGTACTCAAGGACTGCATATATGCTCCTACTTTAGACAGGGATATGGGCTTCCCCAACTGATTCTCTTCCTCATAGCTATCTAAACTAATTAACATAGCCAAATTTGCTATCATCAGTAGAAGCTGGTTAACTAACACAGGTGTTTTTTTGTATTTTGTTGTGTGACATTGATTTTGGAAATGTGATAAGGTCTTACCCGAACGTTTACGCGGGTGGCATTTTCATGTGGGTGGCCCATGTGTCAGAATTCCAGCCACTAACCACTGGGATAAAAGGGCTTGTTTATATAGCGGGTGAGTGCGCCCATAACCCCCCAGGCCAACGTGCCTGTAACCCTTCCCTAGGATCAATCGGGGATCACCAGTGGACCTCTGACACCCCCCCGCACTGGGATGCCCGAGGTGCATACACCGGGATTCGAACCCGAGACCTTCGCTCTGATACCATGTCAGAATCCCAGCCACTAACCACTGGGATAAAATGGCTTGTTTATATAGCGGGTGAGTGCGCCCATAACCCCCCAGGCCGACGTGCCTGTAACCCTTCCCTAGGATCTATTGGGGATCTCTAGTGGACCTCTGACACCCCCCACGCACTTGGATGCCCGAGGTGCACACACCGGGATTCGAACCCGAGACCTTCGTTCTGATACCATGTCAGAATCCCAGTCACTAACCACTGGGATAAAAGGGCTTGTTTATATAGCGGGTGAGTGCGCCCATAACCCCCCAGGCCGACGTGCCTGTAACCCTTCCCTAGGATCATCGGGGATCCCCAGTGGACCTCTGACACCCTCCCGCACTGGGATGCCCGAAGTGCACACACCGGGATTCGAACTCGAGACCTTCGCTCTGATACCATGTCAGAATCCCAGCCACTAACCACTGGGATAAAAGGGCTTGTTTATATAGCGGGTGAGTGCGCCCATAACCCCCCAGGCCGACGTGCCTGTAACCCTTCCCTAGGATCTGACACCATGCACCTCGCTTTCCGGCTAAGTGGTTCTATTGCACAGACAAACAGACAGGGGAGGGGCATCTTTCCGCGTTTGTTGCAAACAATCTTTGTCTTGAATGGTGTGATCAACAGGGTCGGGGTCTCACAAAGTATGTTGTGTAGCATGGTACCACTACCCTGATTGTCAAACTATATGTGCTGCATATTGTCTAGGCTGTAGTGGGGTAGCCCATATGAGGTACAACCCAATTAGGGTTTACTACTTGTACTCCTGCATCCTGTTAGTTCACATCATTCCTGCTGCTAGATTCTAACATGGTTTCAGAGCACTAAGGTCCGTAGGACCGTTTTTTTTCGGGCCCACCTACCGCTGCGGTTACCGCGCTACCTCACGTGCCTGCCTGCCTTGCCTTGCCTTGTGACGTGCTGCCCTAGGCCGGTGCGCTGCCCCTAGAGGCCCGTAAGGCCCGCGCGCCGCCTCTACACGCCTGTCAGGCCCGCAAACACACTTCTACCGCGCGCTGCCCGCACCGAGACCGCGCAGCCCGCCCCGAGTCGCGCGCAGCCCGCTGCAGCCACGCGCAGCCCGCACCGAGCCGCGCGCAGCCCGCTGCAGCCGCGCGCAGCCTGCACCGAGCCGCGCACAGCCCGCTGCAGCCGCGCGCAGCCCGCACCGAGCCGCGCGCAGCTCGCAGCTGCCGCGCGCAGCCCGCGCCGAGCCCACGCAGCCCGCGTCGAGCCGCGCGCGGCCTGCTACTGCCTCGCACGGCCCGCGCGCGGCCCGCAACAGCCCGCGCCGAGCCGCGCGCGGCCCGCTACTACCTAGCGCGGCCGCGCGCGGCCTGCAGCAGCTCCGGGCGCTGTCCGCGCAGCCCGCGCCGAGCCGCGCGCGGCCCTCTGCCTCGGCCCCGACCTGCCGCTGATGCGGCCCCGCCCTGCAGCTGCCGCGGCCCCGACCTGCCGCTGATGCGGCCCCGCCCTGCAGCTGCCACGGCCCCGACCTGCCGCTGACGCGGCCCCGCCCTGCAGCTGCCACGGCCCCGACCTGCCGCTGATGCGGCCCCGCCCTGCAGCTGCCACGGCCCCGACCTGCTACTGCCGCTGAAGCGGCCCCGCCCTGCAGCTGCTTCGGCCCTGCTCTGCAGCCGGTGTTGCGGCCCCGACGTCGCCGCTATCGAGCGCCGGCCCTGCTCGCCCGGGGAGCTCCTGCTCTCCCAGCCTTTGGTGAGCGACTGCCTGCCTGCCTGACGGCCTGCCTGCCTGCCTGCCTGCCTGGCTGCCTGCCTGCCTGCCGGCCTGCCTGCCTGCCTGCGCGCCTGCCTGCCTGCCTGCCGGCCTGCCTGCCTGCCTGCCGGCCTGCCTGTCTGTCTGCCTGCCTGTCTGCTTGCCTGCCTGCCTGCCTGCCTGCCTGCCTGCCTGCTTGCCTGCCTGCCTGCCACGCCTGGTCAGATGCAGCTCCAGCGACGTTCACGCGAGCCTCTCACGCCCCAGCAGCTTAGTGAGTGGTATACTAGCTGGGGTTGTCGCGGTAGCCGTAGTAGCTGTCGCCCTGGGGCTGGTCAGTTGGGAGCGTCTAGCAGTGGCCAGCTGCAGCTGCAGGGGCGTCCACGCGAGACACTTACGCCTCGGCAGCTCCAGGAGTGGTACGCTCAGTGTAGCAGGTCTACACGTACAGTTCGCTGCCCGTACGTCATTCGCACAGGTGCTAGGACTGGTCAGCCTTGTGGGACGCTTGGTCACACACAGTCCCGCTGCTTCGCCCGTCTGAGCGACGACTGGCGCACAGTGTTTGGCGACGAGGCTGAGCTCCCCACCTGGCTGGAGCTGCATGGACAGGGGGTAGATATCTTTGCGCCTGACTATGATGCTATTCTCACTGCCATGTATGCATTGTCTACTAGTGCTGACCGTGCCTGTTGCCTGTGCGTACCGCCTGACCCTGGTGAGGCTGCTGCTCTAGGTGCTAGTGCGTCTCCTGCTCTAGGTGCTGGTGAGGCTGCTGCTCTCGGTGCTAGTACGTCTACTGCTCTAGGTACGGGTGAGGCCGTGGCTTCAGGTGCTGCCGTGTCTGCTCTCTCTGGTACTGCGCCCACTGCGGTCTCACACACCTTCACCCTTGACTCAGGAGCTTCCCGCTCCTTCTTTCGCGACTGCACCGCACTCACGCCGCTCCGTCGGCCAGTCCCGGTCTCCCTGGCGGACCCCTCTGGGGGTCCAGTCCTTGCCCACTATTCCACGGTTCTGCCGTGTCCGGCCGTCCCGTCCGGCTCGCTGTCAGGTCTTTACCTCCCCTCGTTCTCTACGAACTTGGTGAGTGGAGCTGACCTCCAGGATGGGGGGGTTCACCAGTTCACTCCTGCGAGTCAGCGAGTGACTCACTGTACGTGTGCTAGGACGGGCCGGCACTTGGCCACGTTCACCCGTGCACCTGGCTCGAGTCTGTACACACTGACCACTGAGTCCCCTCAGGTAGCTGCGTCTGCGTCTGGTCAGCTGGCGGCCCCCTGCGAGTGTCGCGCTTTGTCGCACGACACTCTCCTGTGGCACCACCGCCTTGGTCACCCCTCCTTGCCTCGCCTGCGTAGCATGCACTCTCGCTCCCTGGTCTCTGGTCTCCCCAGTATCGAGATGGTAGGACGAAAGATAGAACAGAGAAGAGGGGTTGTACTAGCAGCATGCAAGGTACATATAGGAAACCCTAATTTGGGTTGTACTCGCTATAGAGTACCCCACTGCAGGCTAGACAATTACAACATTCTGACACACCCCCATAGCCAAAGTGGGGTGTAATCAGCGCAAATAACCAGTCATAGATCAAGTCCACAAATGCAAGTAAAGCTAGAGGCAGTCACAGAGGGCAAGTGAGGAGGAGGAGAGACTGTGAGGGGCGATCTGCTGCAGACACAACGGGCAACAGGAGCGGCGTGCACAGTGGCTACCGAGCGCA